TTGTTAAATTAATATTAAATAAGTCTCGTTGTAAATTATTTGTATTAAATTGTCGTTAGTGGTAACTTATTAATATTCTGCAATTTTTTGTTTATTATGTCCTTGAGAATACTAATTCACAAATTTTCCACTGCAATGCAGACAATTATGTCTATTTTTGTATAGAGTTCATATTTATATTTATATATGTATTTTATCATAAATCAAGATTAAATCTTGGGGATGTCAAAACATAAAACATACCTGTTAATGAGATCTAAGATTTTCGCGAGTACTCATTTAAATGAAATAATATTTTTGGTTTTACTACGTGATTTATTTTTGACTATAAACTCCATACTCCCGACGTTTCGGCTACTTTACAGTAACCGTGATCACGGGCAGACGAGATGTGTGATTAGAGTACTATAATATATATATAATCTCAGAGTTGATATACATTCATAACCCATTTCTTTTTTTTATTTGTCAAACTTAGCATATATAAAATATTACGATTTAAGAAAGAGAAACCTCTCAGCATTCAATGTATTCACGGTGCGTGTATCGGGTCCATCGTTGTAGTGAGAGGAGCTTCAACAGTGACTGGGACTTGTGACCCAGGTGTAGGTTTAAGGGGCGAAAGGTTTCAAATTTATCGACAATATACGTATAAGAAGTAGATCGTATTTAATAAGAACATTATCTCTGAAAAACATATTTACTTTTCCATCATTAAGAAAATGTAGATCTTTCTATACTATGCAATATATGTGGACTAGCAGTATTTGTATGTGGCCCCCATATGTGATATGTCAATAATAGACTATTGTAATTAGTAACACTATTTCAACATGAAGCGCTCAGTATACAAGCATGGATAATGAGGAATTCAAATTGATTGATATAACTAATTAACATACAGTGAGAAATAATTACAGTATTAGCTTGAGAAGAAGAGAATTTGAGTACTAGGTATACCGTTTGCATACTCCGATCGTCTACCTGTCAATTTCCTAGCTATAGCCAGGATCTGCTTTACATGTTGTGAATAGTTTTGGCTAATTGTTTTTACGACCGGCCGCCTGCCTGACATCAACCCTCTTTGGGAATGTATTAATCCCTGAAGTCTAAATACTCTTAGAAAGTACATATGACTCGGAAAAATCACATTGGTACTTGCCAGGGCCAGGATCGAACCTTCGCCCTCATGCATGAGAGGTGGGCCTTTTAACCACTAGGGCACCACTGACTGATCTATATACTCATCTATATCTATCATCATCTGTGTTCTTGTAGATTAATAGATAAAGGGCCATGGATCTGATATACATGGGGGTCATCAGATCCATGGCCCTTTATGGTGCGCCTGTATGGGTAGATGACTTAAAAAGCGCAAATAAATCGTTGCTGCGGCGACCGCAGCGAGCCGTGGCTATCAGAGCGATCCGGGGCTACCGGACAGTAGCTTGTGAGTCTGCGTGCGCACTAGCTGGCTCTGTTCCGTGGGACCTTGAGGCGCGAGTTCTGGCGGAAATTTATCACAGGGTTGCTGACATTAGGAGACGCGGTCATATCCCAGTAAAAGAGCAGGTGGAACGGTGGCGACGCCAGGGTCATATCATCTTGATGCACACCTGGAAGCAAAGACTGATGAATCCCACAGCTGGACACAGAGTGGTTGAAGCCATAAGACCCATCTTAGACGAATGGGTTTGTTTGCGAAATCGAAATTTGACGTTTCGAATGGTGCAGGTAATGACTGGCCATGGATGTTTTGGTCATTATCTGTTTGCAATTGGTAGGGAACCAACTAAAAGATGTCACCATTGCGTCTGTGAAGACGATACAGCGCAACACACTCTTGCGGAATGTTCAGCGTGGGAAGATCAGCGGAGAGAGCTTTGCAATGTCGTTGGTACAGACCTATCGCTGCCAACCATTATGCAAAAGATGGTTCGTCATACTGTAGCGTGGCAGGCGATGGCTTCTTTCTGTGAGAAAGTCATCTCACTGAAAGAAGCCGATGAAAGAGAACGGGAAAAGGCACCTTCCTCTGACCCGATAAGACGACGCCGTCCGGGACGAAGGCGGATAGCGCATGAGCGCCATCTCCCGCCTTAAGGGGCTTCCGGGTGGCGGACCTGGGGATGTCTGCCACCTCACGGTCTAAGGCCCCGCGAATGCTCAGTTTCCACCACTGACAACACGAAGGATCTAGATGACTTGGAAATGTCCCTTTTGGGGCAGCCGTTGCTGAGCCACAGCAGAATCGCTCTGCGGGCCCTGTGGCTTAGCAAAAGAGCGGCGCGTGGGACACCCGTGGGGTTTTAGTCGGTAGTGCGTCCTTTTCAGGACGAGAGTCCGACATAACTCTCCTTGCTTTCTTCCCCAAGCAGGAGAGTATGCATGAAGCATTTCCCCACGAAAAAAAAAAAAAAAAAAAAAAAAAAAGGGGCACCACTGACTTATGACCACCGTATGCATACTCCGTTATATGTGAATAAATAGTGCGAAATTCCCAATAATACATATTTGTGTGTATGTATGTTACGCATACAAACATATGAAAGGAATGTTTGTCATTTAAATTTTGGACTCGTTTAGTATACAGAAATGCCGAACTAAGAATTTACCAGTAATAATATGTATTGTCGCACGATTTGAAACATGTTTGTGTGTTTGTTTGTCCATTGATAATTGCATAACACGCGAATGTCTTAAATTCATTGACGTTATTCTATTCACATAGCGAGCCCGGTTGTTTACTTGTTTACAGATGCGCTTTCCTCTATAGTGATGTACAAACAATGGAGCGTTGTAAAACTGAATTATTTCTGTGTAAACGTAAATCCCACTATCACGACGGTGTCATCTGATTGTTGTGTTGTGTTAAGAAGATCACACAATCATCATACAGGAAAATAAAGTGTGTTTGCGTATTGATAAGGATATTATTTGATATAGTAATTTTAGTTAAGTCTAAATTCATTTTTTTTTTCTTAGTATATGAATCATATTTCAATTTGATACACAGCTATCGATACACTTTAACATTATTTATAATATTCTATATATAGTTTCTTTTCAAGTTTGGTTAGGTAGAGAGAGGAGCTTGGACGGTGGTGGTGAGCGTTTAACGCGCGTTAGTTAGCCCCTTAAACCTACACCTAGGTCGCAAGTCACAGGCACTGTTGAAGCTCCTCTCGCTACAACGATGGACCCAACACCCACGCGATAAATCCATTGAATTCCAAGAGGAATCTTCTCATTAGTATTTAAAAAATAGTTTTTATTTGAACGAAAGCTTTCATTACTATTAGATTTTTTTTAATGTATTATATACTTAGAACTTCGTCTATACACAGTACATCCTATTTTATTGGAAATTCTAAGGCTTCTGAAAGTTCAATCAATATAGGTATCAAAATTATTTTCTGTTCATCAATCTCGCTTTGAATCAACAAAATTTCATTAAATAAATCTATAATGTTAATCCTCGTTTATTTTGACTTTTACAAAGAATCTAAGATACATACGCTTTCTTTAGACAAAATGACTCACCACAGAGAAAGTGTTTTGGATTTGCTCGATCATTTAAAGTTGCTAAAAATGAAATTCAACCGTCTTCTACTGATATTAAACTTTTACTTTATTTATATATATTTTTTGTATATCCCTACTAATATTATAAATGCAAAAGTAACTCTGTCTGTCTGTTACGCTTTCACACCTAATCCACTGAACTGATTTTAATGAAATTTGGTACAGAGATAGAGTTGACGTTGAGAAAGAACATAGGATAGTTTTTATCCCAGACTTTTGAAAGGTTCTCTTGGAAACGCGATATAACTGAACTCCACGCGGGCGAAGCTGCGGGCGGAAAGCTAGTATGCATATATATCTCTGTATTAAATCCAGTCTAATAACATTATGTAGTAAATTTAATGATGTAACGATGTTTTTATCACGCCCGTCGTATTGTTCTTTCGTATGTCACATATGTACATACATGATGATCACGCTCCTATACTACATAATAAGATATTATGTTCAGTTTTTATTGTGATAGCATATTACTGTGACGTCATAGTATACGGAAGTATTGGTGGGTTGACTTAAACCTATGACAAGGTTTTTTTTGTATCAGAAAGATGGCAAAAGAACAAGCCTATTAGATGAACAGTAGTCACCGTCGTCCATAGACATTTGTATCTTTATAGATATTGCAAATGCGTTCCCGATCTTGATTTTTGAGGAAAAGGAAATGGTGGGAATAGGGAAAGGGCAACCGGCTTTATAACTCATCGGACCAAACGCAGCCATTAAAAGCTACTTCACGCCGATCTTCTGTGAGAGGGTGGTACTTCCCTAAACTCAACTTGACAACAGGATTTTTTTTTAATGAAAAACTTTAGATACTTTATACTAGTAGTAATAGAATAATTTATACTAGGAAGATGTTTTGAGTTGTAATATGATATTCAACAATAGCAGTCTGAATTTATTGTTTTTAATTCATGGTACATCATGGATACATCTCAAAGAGTATATATACATATAGATGGTCATTGTCATGTGCCTTTAATATAATAAAGTTTTATAGATTTAACTGTACTCATGAATTACGGTTGAAGCGGAGGACTTCGACCGACATAGCCTTAATACACTTTGTATGTACACATACATTAGAGCCTGTGTGTTTACACCGTGTGTCCATTGACACCCGATACTAGATGATGTATTAAATGGACCATTCTCGTGACACGATACGTGATGTTATCCTAAACAAACAGCTCTTAATATTTATAATACTCTAATATTTTTGGGAGTATTTTGTATTTAAAGATTTTTGCAAATTAATACATATAATATGTACCTTAAATAAAGATTTTCAAAAATATCTGTACCTTTTTATATGGTATTTTTGATGGATTTTTTTATATGTTGTTAATTTCATTATTGGTTTTAGCATTAAGACTAGTAATACGTAATGATTGAAATGTATAATTTCGTTACAGATGCTGCAGGAGAAGCGTCTCTGTATCCTAGGAGCTGAACTATCAGAGCTGGACATCTTCGAGAGGCTGCTGCGTTTTTCGGGAGCACAACTTAGACTTCTGCAATGCTTTCAGGTATCACTTATATTACTATCGAATAGTCAGTATAGGTGTTCGTTAGAAATGAGTTTTAAATAAGTACTAGCTGACCCGGCAGACCTCGTACTGCCTCAATCGATAAATAAACATTTTTTTATTTATTTTTTTGGAGTTTACCTCTAAGCCATAAATCTCCGTGTTCTAAAGTGCGACAAAATGATTGACATATTAGTTAAATGTCAAATCTTATGTTAAAAAAAAACGTTTGTATGACAAATAGAAAAGCGCTGTTTTTAGGGTTATCCCGGAAATTTAATTTTTTTTTTCAGCTTTTAAATGTTCCCTGAACCTCCACGAACATTTCAAGACTAAATATTTCGCATTTATACATATTGTACTGTATACTTCTATATGAAGCAATTTGCTTTGACGATATTGCCAAGGATTTTAGATGTTTTTAGCTGATCTAATGGTAACCATGGCAACGTTATAACAAACAAGTACGGTATGAAAACTCAATTTTTTTTAACAATACTGCACTGGAATAGTCTACAGTGAGCGCCCGTATGTAAATGGGTCAGTACTCTTTATGTTTGAGTGACGTCACGTCCTCAGTGACGTCATAATGTTTTCATACCACGTGTTCCTGTCATGAAATCGTCAAGGGCATCAGATTAGTGTTACGAAAACATATGCGGGAGTTTGTATAATGATATGTTCAGCTTTTATGTACTCATGAATATATATGTAGGTATAATATATTATACATATATGCTATTTTTAACGATTTTAAATAAGGAATATGATAAGGAATAATATTATTTATTTATGAAAATCTATATAACATCTATATACTGACCATTAACATAATATTATATAAATCTAGTTACCGTAATAATACTTCGTAATTATATATGTATTTAACTGAAGCACGTACTAATCAACTTATCTATATATTTCAAAGGTTTTATCAGTTATAATGCAATATTGTTAGTAATGGTATAAACATGTTTTGTGACATATATGTACAAGAAATATAATTCCAATACTTCAAGTACAGTATGAGTCAGTGGTGGCCTAGTGGTTAAAAGGCCCGCCTCTCATGCACGAGGGCGCGGGTTCGATCCTCGCAAGTACCAATGTGATTTTTCCGAGTCATATGTACTTTCTAAGAGTATTTAGACATCACTGATTAATGCATTCCCAAAGAGGGTTGATGTCAGGCAGTGGCCGGTCGTAAAAATAATTAGACAAAACTATTCACAACACGTAAGGCAGATACTGGCTAAAGCTGAGAAGTTGCCAGGTAGAAGAAGTGTACAAGAAAAATATAATTCCAATACTTTAAGTATATAATATGTTTATTTTATTATCGTATCTAAGACAAGTGTAATTATGTTTTCTTTTGTGACGCGAGGTTTACCCTCGAGATTCGTTTGTCAAATAAATGTATATTATGATAACGTGAATGTGCATCATTAAATGTTCTAATGACGCATTATTATGTATTGTAGTGGATTATATGAAGGACATTCTTCTTCTACCTGGCAATTTCCCAGCTTTAGCCAGGGTCTGCCTATGAAGGAGATTATATAGCTTTAAATATTATTTGTGTTTTAGTTTATGATTGTATGACAGAACATTCGACATTCTATTACCTATAAATATGAGAAAACTTGTGACTATGTACATATGTATGTTTGTAGCTCTCTCAAACGAAAATAGTTTTAAAGATTTTTATGAAATTTTACAGTAACGTGGCTCAGATATCAGAATAGGATATAGACTGTAATTTATGTTTAATTTCGATTTTCTGCGTGATCATTTCATAACAGTTGTATGTAGTGTGAAGTCTCGTGATACAAAATAAAGATAACGCTGATAATAATCATATAACATAGTGTATATTATTATTCTAACACATGTTATATGTCTCGCTGAACGTAATTCAGAATTCCGTACAGGCAAAGTCGCAATCAAAAACTAGTATGAAATATTAATGAATTGTAGTGTCTTTGTTTTGAGAATGTTATTTTGACACTCATGTCTTGTTATAGCCACTTCATGCTATCATTTTCCCTATATATGTATATACACTTAAGCCAATTCAAAGCCTGATAAAAACATTATTTTACTATTTATTTCTTACTAGTTTTTGCCCGCGACTTCGTCCGCGTTAGTTTGGTCAAGAGTAATATATGTAGGTATAGCTGACCAGCCGAACTCTATTAAATTTAAAGGGGCCATAAATAATCAGGTTTTTCCTGTTTTAATCGAACAGAATGATTGACATATTAGTTAGTTGTCAAATCTAATGTCAAAAAAAAAACGTTTGTATGGGAAATAGAAAAGGGCTGTTTTTAGGGTTTTCCCAGAAATTATTCCAATTTTTCTCACCTTTTAAACCTTCCCTGGACTGCCAGGAGTATTTCAAGACTAAAATTAGCCAAATCGGTTCAGCCGTTCTCGAGTTTTAGCGAGACTAAGGAACAGCAATCCATTTTTATATGTATAGAAGATTAAATACTGAATTTAGAAAAATTTAATAATATCTGGCATTATTATTAATATACAACTGGTGTCATAACTGTTGAAAAGAACGAAATTATTTTTAACTAGCTTTTGCCGCGACTTCGTCCGCCTGGAATAGTGACTTCCGGCAGATTTTTGGTTCTTCCCACATAGTTCCCGTTCTTTCGGGGTTTCGGAATGGTTGAGTTCCCGTAGAATTTTCAGGATAAAACCTATGTTTTTTTTATTCACAATGAAGTACTCTTAACCAACAACATATTTATTTGTTTATTTGAATAAAGATTAATATTATTATGTTGATACAATTTAAACAAATTATTTCGACCAAATTAGGTACCATAAAAACGGTTTTTGTGAGTTCATCTTAAAAGATAGACATATACTGTCGCGGACTGTTTTTTAGATCATTCAAAGAGCTACTATTCTTTAATACATATTTTTTGTGTATCTTGAAAAGTTTTCACGGCGCACGCAACGGAAGGCTTCAAAGATGAAATAATTTCTCCCGTTTTTTACACATTTACCACTATATCTTTGCTCCTATTCGTCGTAGCGTGATGTTATATAGCCCACAGCCTTCCTCGATAACTGGACTATCCAACACAAAAAGAATTATTCAATTCGAACCAGTAGTTTCGGAGATTAGCGCTTTCAAACAAACAAACAAACTCTTCAGCTTTATAATATTAGTATAGATATAACAAAGCTTTCCTTAAATATGTAGAATTTTGAAACCGAATTTTGAAATGCGAAAGTAACTCTGTCTGTCTGTCTGTTACGCTGCACACCTAAACCACTGACGTGATTTTAATGACATTTGGTACAGAGGTAGAGTTGACCTTGAGAAAGAACATAGGATAGTTTTTATCCCAAACTTTTGAAAAAATGTCTTGGAAACGCGATATAACCGAACTCCACACGGGCGAAGCTGCTGGCCGAAAGCTAGTTATTCATAAATAAGTACATAACATTTATTGTTTTCTTACTCAAGTGTAAAGACAATCTAGTTCAATCTACTAAATATATTTTATTGGACAAGTTATACTATAATATGTGAGTATACATATATAAAATGTATATTTTATATAAAAAAATATTTGTTCCATTTGTTTTATTTTAATTACGTGAAAAGATAGATAATTAAAAATTTGTTTTCTCTTTGATAGTTCTAATATTATAATATGTCATACAGCAAATTATATTCTTGAAGTATTAATACTTTTTTTATCAACATTTATATTTATAATATATGTAATTTCGGAACTCTTGTTCCTATGAACTTCTTATAATTGATACAAAATATATGAGTATGGAGATATACATGCATCATGCGAAGCCTTGGACCATATTTAAACAAGTGTAGCTTATAAGTTTATAAACAGCTACATACATACAAGGAGATTTATTAAAGAAAAACATTTTTTTTTTGTAAAAAGCATTGAGTTATCTTGTTCTACTTAAATCTTCTATATATATAAAAATGGATTGCTGTTCCTTAGTCTCGCTAAAACTCGAGAACGGCTGAACGGATTTATCTTATCTTAGTCTTGAAATGTTCATGGAGGTTCAGGGAAGGTTTAAAAGGTGAGAAAAATTGATTCATTTCCGGGAAAACCCTAAAAACAGCCCTTTTCTATTTCCCATACAAATGCTTTCTTTGACATTAGATTTGACAACTAACTAATATGTCAATCATTCTGTTCGATTGAAACAGGAAAAACCTTATTATATATGGCCTCTAGGACGGAATAGAGTTCGCCCGGTCAGCTATACATATATTACTAATCATGAAATTAACGCGGACGAAGTCGCGGGCAAAAACTAGTTATTAATATAAATATATAAATAGTTTGTCTATCTGTCATGTTTTCATTAAATTAATGAATTTAATTATGTATATCCAATTTCCTATATCCGTAACCAGGAAGGAAAAGTCGAAACATTAATTTTGTTTGCAATAAACTTTTTATAATTGTACAAGATAATATTTATGTTTTATATTTGTATGTGTATGTATGTGTTTGTTAAATTCTCTCAGACAGACGGTGAAGGAAAACATCGTGAGTAATCCTGGACTTATAATTTCAAATTATAAGTTTGAAATCGCCAACCCGTCTTGAGCAAGCGTTGTGATTAATGCTCAAACCTTCTCCATATGAGAAGAGGCCTTTGCTTAGCAGTGGACTATGATTGGCTAATGATGATGATGTTTGTTATTTCAGGCGGTGATAGAGCACGGGTCGAAGCTATCATCGGAGCTTGCGAGCGGCTACCTCGCGCGGTGCGACGCTAGCAAGGAGTCAAACAACACACTCATACAGTTAGGACTTAGGCTGGGTGAGCAAACTAATATCATTACAAAACACAATAAAGTTTGACGTCAGCTTTATGCCTGCCACACACGCTACGGTATACAAAAGAGGTAATCTGTACAGGTATGCCTGCACAGGTCAACGCGAACAATGAAAGCGTTCAAAAAACTGCACAGGTCTATTCCCATAGAAATTCCGGTCTACCTGCACAGGTGGACCTCTCCGGTAGAACGTAACGTGTGTGGCCGGCATTATATTGTTGTCAAAGTAGTAAATATAATAACTCCTTACAAGTGGCGGCTGGTGGGTTATCGAACTGGTGGTGCACTTTACTAAAATATTAAAATTAGAAAATGAAACAAAAAATAAATTGAGATAAAATATGTTAATTTTTTTTTACATTAATAAATGCAACGACATTTTTCCGAAGCGAAATGTTTGATCACCTATTTATTAAAATCGGGTATTGTTTGTATATATTTTTTAAATTCAATACTAAGCACAGAAAGTGCATTTAGCAAGTGCATGGTAGGTATTTCGGAGAAAAATTTTGATTCTTTTCAATTCCAATTCGTCATACATCGGGTGCTCTCGGTGATCTTCGGCCGCTCGTGCGGCGCTCGAGAACCGACTCATGACTCGATACATTTCTATGAACTATCTTTTGTTTCACGCGTCAGGCGTATTAATGCGTGTCTCATACAAGATGTATTAGCAGTCCTTGTGCACTCGCCGAAGCGCACGATATGAGTTTAGCAAAACGCTCAAACTTTTTGACTATAATTAGAAATTTAATTTTTTATACGTTTTTGTATGTTTAGAAAATAAATATTAAAATGGTAATTTAAAAATAAAGATGAAGTAATATTTTGTAATTTTTAAATCTTTTGAATTAGTGGTTCACCGCACGAGTGCACTTAAGGTACAGCCGCCACTGCTCCTTACCATATATGTAATCAGATTTAAAATTACTATATATGTATGCGATTATTATTATTCTAAAATAAATTCACATTTGTATCAAAGATTTTAATGAGAAATTCGCCATAGATATTGGGAAATGATCTGATATAAATTTGTGTATAACGTTAATATCTTCAAAAAAATATAGTCTTTGAACACCCTGTATACCCTTAAAATAAGTTTTTAAAGATGTTACCATCAAATATTATTCAGATAGCTTTATTTCAATGATATATGACCTTCCATATTTGTATGTCCGTCTGTGTTTATTCAGGTGGTTTCCTTAACGAGGCCGGTTGGTACGCGGACGCTCAGAGGGTCCTAGTACGATGTAGGGACCTCTGCCAGGCCCAGCCGCAGACCACGCATTACAAACGATTGACCCTGGAGTGCTGTCACAGGTATTATATACAGGGTGTTAAACGTAAAGATATGTAGGGTAGTTGGTAATTTTAATATGGGTTGCATAGATTACTGTAAACAAAAACTTGGAAGCGATAAGCATCTCTACGGAGTAGATTGATATAGAGAATTGATGAAGAGATTTGAAATAGATGTTTTGATGACGGTGACAATTCTTATTATACCTTATTATGACTTATAAAATGCAATGATAGTGAAATAGTGACACATAAAAAAGAAAACCAGTCGCTCTCAGATTGATTTAAATATATGTATATACAAATTGCAATTAGTACCAAAGATAATAATTTTATTCATATGTATCAGTGAGTAGTCGTATAACGTTATCTCTTTCCTTTTCCAGACTTCTAAACACCCAGTCAGCATACTGCTGTCTGTCGGCCGCCGCGGAAACTTACGAGCTGGCGTTGGAACTGCTAGGGCTCCCGGGGGACGCCGCCCTCCGCCTTACAGACAGGCCCATGCAAGTGGCTGGGGAGTGGTTCGCGAATATGCTACAGGAGTATGAGGAAGATAGGTGAGACACACTCCTCATACATTACACATGAACATTCTTTACAAGGGGAGCAAAATAGCAGATGGCTTACCTAACGAAGGTAGTACCGTTACTTTGACAATATTTTGCGGATGAGTTGCCACCTTTGGTTGGCGAAGGGAAAAGACAACCGTCTCTCTTACTCATCGAACGAAACACAGCATTAAAGGCATTACTTCACGCCGATTTTCTGTGAGAGGGTGGTACTTCCCCGGTCGAGCCAGCCAATGTTCGAACTATAGTAACTGACCATACTATTCTATATTATAACGTATATATGTCTGTCAGTGAGGTGAGCGCGGGCTGCGGGTCGTGGCGCGCGTCCTCGCTACTGGCCCGTCTATGTAAAGAGTTCAGCGCGCTGTTCTTTTTCCGCTGCGACTACAGCGCAGCGCACGCCTGGAGCCTCGCCGCGCTAAGTCTGCTCACGCCGCACACGCCCGCCAAGTAAGAAAATATATATATACACATACTAACTGACCCGCCAGACATTATAAAAACGTGAAAGCAAAACCTTCGTCCAAAAAAATTAGAGGTGAACACCATGTATCACTTAGGGATATGAAAATACGATAGTAGCCAATTCTCAGACATACACACGATAAAAAAATGAAAACGAAAATTTCGTCCAAAAAAAAATTAGGGGTGAACACCCTCTATCACTTAGGGATATGTAAATAAGATAGTAGCCAATTCTTAGACTTACACAGGATAAAAAAATGAAAAAAAAAATTCGTAAAAAAATTAAATAAAAAAAATTTAGGTGAACACCCTTTATCATTTAGGGATATAAAAATTAGATAGTAGCCTATTCTCAGACTTACTGAATACTCGTATAAAATTTTGACGAGGAGTACGCTAACATTGTGACATGAAATTTTATATATTAAATGAACATCTATACTAGTGTTATCACGCGGTAGTAACGATGATATCTGTTGGTTATAGTCTTTAGTAATTTACATTTTATATTGTATTATTATTGGTAGTATTTTTTGTTTCCCCTTTTGTATAATTGAAGTAGAACAAAAAAAAGAAGTGTTAGGTTAATAGAAAATACTGTCCTCATCCATGCCGTGATAACATTTAATTGAAACTATACTTAGCTAAAAATGTTTACTTTATTCTTAAAACCTATAAATGGTGTATGTTTTGTAAGTTGTCCTTATATAAATAAATAATCTGTCCAGGATAACAGTGGAGGTTGTCAGAGCGTGCGGCAAGGCGTGTGTGGTGAAGCGGCGCTTCAAGGCGGCGGGGCTGCTCGTGAGGCAGGGCGTGTCCCTAGCGAGGGCGGCCTTCGGTACACACCACCCGCGGTACGCCGCCGCGCTGCTCGACTACGGCTTCTACCTACTAAACGTGGACTCGATCACGCATAGCGTGGCCGTGTACGAGGTATGTTATGTGACGGTGTAATAAGTAGCCATTTAATTAATTATCTTTATACGGTGTAATCAGACGATGCCTTAGCTTCTGGGTAAGCTCGTCTATTCTACACGAGTCTGACTCAGCGGTTCCGTGTGAAGACAGTTTTTGGTTTTATATTTCTTTTATGTTTTTAGATTATAATGTTTCTTGTAAGAATTTCATTAGATTTATTGTCACTATTTGTTCAACCTTTGTGCAACATAGTCGCAAACCTAGTTGTAACTTACTTTTAATTAAATTAAGTCAAATAATTTTGGTTCCATTGCATAATTGGTATAACAACATTACCAATAATATAATAATAATAATAATTTACAATTTACAAAAAAAAAATCAAAGTATAATGAAATCCCTAATTTCTGAGCTAAGCTCAAAAACCTGTATTGTAGAAATCAGTGGTGTCCTCTCTCATATTTAAGTGTGATATCGTTCTATGTAAATAAAAATAAATGATAAATAATTATTTCTTACTGTATACTAGAGTCGTGTGTGTGTGTGTGTGACTCAACATTAAACTTAGCCCATCTCATAATTCATTATATTATACCTCTCATTTCCAGGAGGCGTTAGGTACTCTCCGTCGCGTGTTCGGCCGCAGTAGCCTTCACGTAGCTACGGCTCAGGAAGACCTCGCCTACGCCCTCTACGTACTAGAGTACTCCTCGGGCAGGTTCTACAAGGCCAGGGACCACGCGGAAAGGGCCATCAGGATTATAGAAGTGAGACAATTATCATGTATACAATATAACATTAACTAAACTCTATATAAATATACTAGAAGACCCGGCGAACTTCGTATCTCTCTATAATCAAGAAATATCTGTTACGTTTTTGTTATTTATATTTTTTGGAGTTCACCTATCAAAGCCATAAATCTCCGTGTTTTGAAGTGCGACACAATGATTGACATATTAGTTAGTTGTCAAATCTAATGTCAAAAAGAACGTTTGTATCAACAACTATGTACTAATAAATTAAAAATTAATTAAAAAAACATTGTCCAGCGGACAAAATTGTGAATCTAAACCATTCCCAGATCCCCTTGAACACACACAAAAAAAAATCATCAAAATCGGTCCAGTCGTTTGAGAGAAGTTCGGTGACATACACACTCACAGAAGAATTATATATATAAAAATATTTTTGAGGAAGGTTGGGAGGAATTTTTTGTTTTTGTGTTGGTGTTCAAATAAGGAAATAATAATAAACATAATAATTGTGGGTGCTGGCTGTCCCTCCGTGCGTAAGAAATGAAACATCGTAATATTAGAATGAAAACAGGATGTTGTAAAAATTTTTTTTAAGAAATATATAGTGTTTCTTTAAGACAAAACTTATTAACATTATTTACAAGTCACAATTGATTGCTCGCATGCGTTCGAGCGCCACGCATCCCTCTATCATTCTCCCCACTCCTCGCAAGAGTATAAAGCGTTTAACGCAACCTCATTAGCAGTCGTATAAAAAGTTTCATTTCTATCAATTTTTTTCAGTCACTTTTCCAAAGTTGTGCACGCTTCAAATACATACGTAGTTGCTATCATGATGGTTCGTATGTAGCGTGATTTAAAATGTTCGTATGTAGCGTAATGTAAGTGTATGTGACAAGAACATTCTGTTTATTTCAGAACCTCGTCCCTCCCGACCACTTGCTGCTCGCGTCCGCTAAACGTGTTAAAGCACTCATTTTAGAAGAAATCGCTCTGGACACTCCCGCGGGCCAGGATATGAGAGGTACGAAAAATATAATGACAAAAAAAAACTTTAACGATTAGTCTTTTAGAAAATTATGAAACTTAGTACTTATCGATATTTAAACATTGCTTTCCAGAGCCGAGTCTTCTAGAAGAGTCCGAAGCTCTCCACAAGGCGGCGCTCGAGCTGAGCATGATGGCGTTCGGAGAGAAGAACGTACAGACGGCCAAACACTACGGGAACTTGGGGAGGCTGTATCAGAGCATGCAGAAGTTTAAGGTTCACTTACATACATAAATTACTACCACCATAGGCCATACATACACCTGACTTTTATACCATAAACTAGCTTTAGACCCAGTTTCACCAATCAATGTTTGTTTAATCTAAACACAGCATTTATTAACCAACCTTCAAAATAATAAATGTCTGTTAAAATATTTACGTCCCACGATGACAAAGTAACAACGCATTATTAAATGTCATGTCAAATGACCGGCTACCAAATCATTCGTTCTTGTTATAAGACGACCAAGTGGAAACTATAGCGTTTAATACGGCACGTTTGCCACGATGCATCACTTTATACTTTGACCGTATATATCCCTGGATACGTCACTTGTTAGGTAATGCGACCAAATTTTATATATCGTTGGTTGCATACATTTACCACACAAAATGCTTTCTTTTCAATTTACTAGGTGTAACCTGTCAAAATCGGGTTGTCAATAAATTGTGTTATATATTATTATGTTATAAATATATTCATAAATTGTGTTCAAATTATAAGAGATAAAACGAAAATTTAATTTGCAATGTTATAAAAAAGCTGGAGGCAAAATCAAAAATCAAAATCAAAATAACAAGGAAATAGTCGAAACTGACAAAACAGATGACGTTACTATGGTTACAAGAAATTAGGGCTGTGATTGGACAATTGAGTTTTGACAATGTATTAACATTCTGTTAGCCATTAGACGGAGCTCCAGAGAAGGAATTAATATTAGTGGCTGGTTAAGACATTTAAACGGACATTTGTGCGTGGTGGGACGCTCGATGCATCTAACAGAGCATCAAACGCATTAACACGATGTTACTTATTTACATTGATTGGTGAAACTAGGTCTTAGTATTTAATTAACTGTCATTCTTATTACCAGGACGCAGAGACGATGCACCTCAAAGCGATAGCGATAAAGGAAGAACTACTGGGAGCTGAGGATTATGAGGTGGGACTGAGCGTGGGGCACCTGGCCTCGCTGTACAACTACCACATGAATATGCATCGAGCGGCCGAGAAACTATATCTCAGATCTATATCTATTAGTGAGTATACATCTATATCTATCTTCTACCTAGCAATTTCCCAGCTTTAACCAGGGTCTGCCTGCAAATGAAAAAAACTTCTTCGAAATCGGTCTAGGCCTCGAGGCTTACGGTGCCTTAGACAAATACACACACATACAAATACACACACATACAAAATTTTACGTCACTCTTATAACAGATCTCTTTTTTGACGAGTGTTAAAAATATGACCAAATCAATTTGACTTCTCCTTAAGATGAACTCTTCTGAAATGTTTCTTTTATATCATCTTAAGACTAACTATGAATATGACATGACTACACTTCTTCTTCTACCTGGCAATTTCCCAGCTTTAGCCAGGGTCTGCCTTAAATGTTGTGAATAGTTTTGGCTATTTGTTTTTACGACCGGCCGCCTGACATCAACCCTCGTTTTGAATGCATTAATCAGTGATGTCTAAATGCTCTTAGAAAGTACATATGATTCGGAAAAATCACATTGGTACTTTCCCGGGCCAGGATCGAACCCGCGCCCTCATGCATGAGAGGCGGGCCTCTTAACCACTAGGCCACCACTGACTGATCTATATACTCATCTATATCTATCATCATCTATATTCTTGTAGATTTATAGATATCTTCTATATTTTCAGGTTTAAAACTGTTCGGCGAGCGGTACTCTGGCTTGGAGTATGATTACCGTGGGCTGGTGCATGTATTCACTCAGCTCAAAAGGCACGAACGAGCGCATCACTACAACGCTCTGTTACAACACTGGCACGGTACGACAGACAGACATACATTTGATATATGCCGGTTCTAACACACTTTGGAACGCTTTATATTATTAAAGACAGCTTTTGCAATACTTTTTCTATATTATATTGTTGTACATGTGTAATGTTAACACATTTGTTGCTTGAATTATATTTGGATCATGATTAATATAGTGATGTTCACAAACATAGTCTTACTCTTGCATTGCGCTATTAAAGGGTTTGGATGTAGTGGGTTTAACATTAGTATGTAATACTGAAGTTGAAATGTGAGAATCCTTAATTTGTATACTTCCATAACAAGCAACGAAAACACATGATGATAGCAACATTGAATCGGTTTTGCCATATCGTCGTGTATAGTGGAAATCCGCGTAACTACCATTGGATAATTTCGCATATCTACATTGAAAGCAGATTATCAGAAGAAAGTTGAAGCTGAAATATTTCCTATATTAATGACAATTAAAGTTATTATTTCACAGTTGCAATTATTTAATGTTTAATTTATTACTAGGTAATTGTGAAAAAATTACTATCCCCGCAGATATGCCATAATGAATATAGACTGTTTCGTAATATTTGTTCCGTGTTCTAATACGATGTATCATTTCTGTCAGATCTCCGCGAGCAGTCCAAGGCGGAGCAGCAGCCGGCGCTAGGAGATGAGCAAGTGATGCCGCTGGAACAGCTGCAGGCGCACTTCTACAACAACAACGACTGAACCACTCGCGAGCCTCACGAGATCTGTCCCTACTGCCATGATGTAGCCAAGAAAGCGACTCTCTACGGTTAATGTGGCAACACTGACGGTTACGTCTCATTTAATCATATTTCAAAGGATATTTACGTTCGATACTTCAGACGGCGTCCGTTTGGTATTTTTTTATGAGACTCATCTCTACGAAACGTCTTTCAATGTGATAAAATTTCTGTATAAAAAAATTTTGAAAGTTCGACAGATCTAACGATAGAGCTTTTATGTTCCTCACGTGTAAGTAATTTTTATATATATAATATTGTATAAATCTTAGTTTATGATTTATCGCTTTAAGAAAATTTTATTTTTAGTATATATGTTTTGACGTGCAATGACGGCAGCATGTGTAAATATTGATTTATTATCGCCAGTGTTGCCAGGTTTTAATGTTCACTCGTGTATAAAATGTTAATGTATCACGATAAATTAGATGGTACTTAAAATATATCGGATAAATGATGGCTGTACATAGAAGCGCACCGGACACTGTTTTGGCAATACTATATATATCAATATCATTAAATTGCTTATAATAAGATAAAAATCTCAAAGATTTAGATAATGCCAGGAATACAAGTGTTCCTTATTTAGATAAATACACGCAGCCGATGAGTATTTTAATAAATTTTATATTCAAAGTGTAGGCAATTTGTAATTGTTCGATAGTCTGTAGCGTTACTTGTATAAAGATAAATATAAATTGTCTATGTTTGTGTATTGTCTATGGCTGTATAGATGATGGATGTCAGAGAGTTGTGGAGCTAATAAATAAGTTTTATGATGACATTAGGAGTTTCATTGGTAATAAAACACTTCGGAAGGGTCATACTTTAATAAACAAAAATAATAAGCTCAGTCACACGGGGTGCTTTCTATCAGAAATATGGAATGATACATTCTCATCTAATAATTAATAAAATAATTTTATTTCAATTTAACAAAAACTTCAATCGATAAATAACACTTTAAAAGGCACTTTGATAACAACAGATCATGAAGCATCTATTAAAATCTATTCAAAACATTGTAAACATATTTGTATAAACAGCGCAACGCCAATATATAATAATCTATATAAATAATTAAAATACAATCAGAGATTCAAACTTATCAAGCTGCTGTATTATGTCGGAGGCTGTACTGGCTCACGCCGGTCTGGTCCGGTCTAATCCGGTTTGATCCGGTCTAGGCGGGCCCGAGCAACGCCAGGAGCGCGCGCTTGTAGTCCCCAGACGTCTCCCCCTGCTGCAGCCGCGGGTGCCGTCAGTAACGTGCAAGAGACGAGCAACGCGGCAACATTAGTATGCGTGATAATATATAGGAATACATAACAGTGGAGATGTTATCAGAAATTACATGCTCGTACAGAAAAAGATATACCAAGAAATAGTACATTATATATTAAGAATCATATGTTAAAATTACAAATACCCTCACCTCCTTCCGATCACCAAAGTAGCGTTGGAACGAAATGAAATTAAAACACACTACATATACGAGAATAGAAAGTTAAATTTAATTTCATTCATCAGCCAATTTTTCGAGATGCGTTTAAAGCATAATGTGCTTTAATTTATCAAGCTGTGCTGTGGCTGGTGGGAAGTTACTTCAGCCAATAATAGTTAATCAAAAGTATGATCAAGTACGTGTTACTTGTATATAAATGATTTCGTCCGATTCAATATATCCACTAACCGCAACATCGCTCTCCAGAGTCTTATCGTAGAGCCGTTCGTACTCTGCTTTAATAGTCTGTAGGTCGATCTCCGCCCGGCTGACTATCACTCGTACTAAAGTCTTATCATCAGTGCCTGCGCCTTGCGTGGCGTCTCTCAGGCGCCTCGCAAACCATTCCGCGGCGTTTTCCACACACTCCACTGTAAAGAGACATATATCACACTATAACGTACCCTGATCTCGCTCTCGAGCGTCTTGTCGTACATCCTCTCATACTGCTGCTTGATGTCCCCAAGGTCGAGCTCCGCCCTGCTCACCACGACCCTGATGAGCGTCCGGTCGTCCGTCCCCAAACCCTGCATGGCTCCTCTCAAACGGGACGCGAACCAACTCGCTGGACACTGAACACACTCCACTGTGGAGTGGACGCATAGGTACGAACCACAGATGACGTTTAAACAAACATTATACAAGTTAATTTTGTTAAGAAATATTATTAGTTCGTCTTTTGTCGCGAATCTTAAACAATGATAATTTTTCTTTGCTTCTGACAGATAAACTGTTAATTTCGTTTGATCAGTAATGAAACTTGTTGTATATAATAATTTATGAATTTCGACTTTTTCTGACGATCTATGGAAAAAACTATATAATCGATAAACAGCCTGTTGTCTGTTCAAATATTCCATAAAAGGTCTCAGACCTAAATCTTATTCTAAATTGTCTCGTCACGCAAATGATAGCATGTACTCATCAATTGGTCACTTCCTTCCATATAGTCTGAGAATGTGTTACGAGTCTCAAGTCGTTCCCACTCACAAACTATAACATTATTAATATTAAATACATACTAATAACTATTACATGTATATTACTTAAAATAAAACAATTTACAACAATTAATGAAAGGAACCGGTTAGTTCCAACCCTTCAAGGTCACACGTAATGTACATATATACATTTTTAAGATAATATTCTGTCCCTAACGGTATCCAGTGAAGATGCATCCTAAAGGTGTGACGATATAAATGTCATATGATCCTTTCAAGTCTTTCAAGCTGAAGAATATACTCTCATAATAATATATACATATGTATGTATATTAATAATTAACCGACCTATAGCAGACAGAGCGTCTTTGAGCTCTCCGTCTATCTCGGCCTTGATGGCTTGCTCGATGGTCCGCCCCGCGATGTTCTTGTACTCCTCGAACACTAGCTGTAGCTGGGCGAAGCTCTCGTGAGCCAGGATCTATGAACAGACGAATATATGAACTTTATACTTAGTCTACCTACAATACGACCTATTAGTGTACATTGAAAAGTTGTTCAATTAAATTCAATTATAGATCGGGACCACTCATGACTGTAACGAGGAATTAAAGTTCCAAATCAGACATCAATAGACAAAGATTCGACGCAATCGTGATCATATTAATGACTTTTTTAGATCGGTCATCTAAAAAGTTATTTTAAGTATGAAAATAATAGTCATTACAGTTCAGAAAATGTGTCGATATTTTTTCCTATTCTTGCAATAATTTCATATGTAATTAATACCCTAACATAAGAGGTGTTTGTCAATATGTATTCCTTTATTTAGTACTAGCTTTCCGCCCGCAGCTTCGCCCGCGTGGAGTTAGGTTATATCGCGTTTCCAAAAAAACCTTTCAAAAGTATGAAATAAAAACTATCCTATGTTCTTTGTCAAAGTCAACTCTATATCTGTACCAAATTTCATTAAAATCAGTTCACTGGTTTAGGCGTGAAAGCGTAACAATCAGACGGACAGAGTTACTTTCGCATTTATAATATTAGTAGGGATGCTCTACCTTATTGAAGACCTCCTCGTCCGTGCCCCACTTGGCCTCACCGGCCTCGTAAAGTTGTTGGGCGGCCTCCGCGGCCCGGCCCGGGTCTACCCCCCTCTCTTCATCCCTCGCCCCCTGCGCGTGCGTCTGATTTATATGTGATACTGATCTTGGACTCGGATGAACAAACTTTGATAGACTTCACTAACACTTTGATTATTTGTCGCAGAATTATATGGGAGAATTGATTTTTGGGAAAGTAATTACTGTAGCATGTTTGAAATTAAAGTTTCCTTAGAATGGTAAAAAATTATTTAACTTCAAAATTACACAACTAATGAAATCATCGAGATATTAACGATTATACTAATATTTTCTTTATTTAATCAGTATATATGTCGTATAACTGCAGTCACTATGACAAAGAGTTCAAACTCCATAAAATGAAAGTGTCGTAAGTAGTTCTAAGGTCATGTTGAGCCAAAAAAAATGAAAGTTTCCAAAAGTTGTTCATCCGAGACGGAGCTGGGGTCGGCGAAAGCGAAAGTAAAAGTCAGTGAGAAGCTCACTTGGATATAAAAATATTATGGTGCGATAAAAAACTAGAATACGAGAATTGTAGACATAAGAAGTTTGTATAAATAATGTTATATTTAAACAAGTGACTTGTTAAAATTCACTCCACATATTATTAGCGCAAATGAAATTAAACAGCCAAGCATTTTGTTTGTTTAGTGTGTTAATCACAATATATTTTGTTAGCTTATATTAAAATATAATCCATTAATAGGAGACTTTCAGACTATAGCCAATAACACAGTGATTATACTTTTTAAACAGCAAAAACACAAGTAACAAAATATTATACATAGTTTTAAGTACCACTTCACTGAACTCACTAATCCATTATAAAACTTGTAATTAATATTCAAAAATCTTCCATTCACTTTATAATTAACTTCGTATATTATTTTAAATATATTATATAAATTTTTCAAACCCACAAAGCCAAACATACTTACAGTAACAATAAGTGTAAGAAGGCGACGGAAATCTCCAGATGTCTCCGAGCACATGTGTTCAGCCAAGGGACGGTTGTACACTGAAACAGTATATTTGTTACATATAGTCCTTAACTAGCATATATAAAATACTTGGCACACATATAATACTAGTTTTTGCCAGCAACTTTGTCATCTTAGTTTCAGAATTAGAAATGTATAACTGACCGTCAAACTCTATTCCTATGATTTTGGATTTGATCAACTTTTTCTTTTTAAATCGACGAAAAGTATCCTATGTCCTTTTCTTTGTTCTATGTTTTCTTTAGCAATTTTCAGCTAAACTCGTACTGCCGTTCTTGAGTAATAAATAGTATAACTAACAGAACTTTCTTTTATATATAAAGATTTATATACTAAAAAAACCCTTACGTCTCTCATATGCCTGCACAATCTCGGCTATTTCAGGTTTGGTGCGTGTGCACAGTATCTCAACGAGCACACTCTCATCAGTTCCCATTCCCTCCATACAATGATTCAACTCCTTGCACAGGTACTCGGCGGGTGGCAGCATGAGGGCCACAATAAGATCTTCGAAATGGCCGCCCAGCTCAGATTTCAAATCCTCAATAATGTCCTATTGTAAATACAATTTTCAGTCAGAATTTCATTGATAAATCTGTAGCAGGATTGGATAAGGATGTAAAATTTTGTCTTTTGACATTATAATGTAACAGGTATGATGTAAAATTTTGTCTTTTGACATTATAATGTAATAATGAATTGTTAAAGAATAACTCATTGTTTCACATTTTTTCTGGCAACTGAATTCTGTACTTCACTGTTGATTAAATATTACTCACATTATAGCTCAGAAAACATTATAAGATTTGTGTGATAAAATGCAGTACATAAGATAGTCACTGTTGAAATAATAGATCGCTATCAATACTATTTAAAATATTATTTTGCATTTTTGCTCATATTTATATACTACATGACTTTATAATCTAATTATAATTATTTTAAAACAAATGAAACTCATTAAACCTTCAGTTAAAAGTTAAACAGATCATACAAAAAGCAATCTATCTTTACAGCATGAGTGTTAATTCATGGTAAATTAATGACTCAGAATATTCAAGGTAAGCACTATTGTTGAGTTAATAAAGAAAAACTACAGTCACTACAAGTTATTCTGTAATTATTAAATTGCCGCATTATATGTTAATTGTCAATTATTAATTACTCACTCTTCCATACTCGTGAGTGAAAGCCTTAGAAATAGCCTGTCTCTGAGCATTTGAGCGACTGGTCAGGATATCAATAATGGCCTGTTCATCAGTTCCCAAGCCTTTCATGGCGGCGCGCAATGTCGCTGCATCTTCAGCAGCGTTAAAATTGGGTACGCCGACTACTGTGGGCTGGCGCTATATCAAAAATTATTATGAATTTATAATATGTATGTAAGAGATTCTTTGATTAATTGCATAATTTAAATAAGGTATATAATATCAAAACATAATAAACAAATATATGTAACACAGTTTATGATAATTCTATTTATTTTATGATATTCCTATTAGACTTACTCATAGCGATGAGTGTTATAATTTATTTTAATAGTCAATATACTTTTACTATTTAAGTATAGACAATTGGGTCAAGGTAACGATCCACCCTGATGTCATCAGGAACCGCCCTTAAGTACTTACTAGATAGTTTCGACTTAATAAAAATATTCCCACATAAAAGGTAACATTATACAATTATACTTACGTTGGCCATGATATCTCCTTGATCACTGATAACTTACACAAACCAGCAATAATAAGCAAACAATTTATGCAATATTGTTATTTATTGTTTAAATTCTATGTGCGTCTAATACAAGAACACGAAACTCAACACGATATAGGTACCTTTCAAACAAGTAGACAGTAGTTACCTGTTCACAGATGACGCTAACTCAAATGTCAAATTCAACTGTCAAGATACCAGCAGTCATTGTCAAAGAAACTATATAACATCGCAATTGGCAGATTAAAAACTACGGAGCTTAAGCGATAAATTTCAAATAACATGTATTTACAACCTCAATATGAAGGGGTCTATTATGTTATATGTTGAAGAATTGATTCGACTATCGACTAATTATCAATTTAAAAAGAAGTATAAGTACAACCACATACGAAAATAAATAAAGTTTTAGTAACATTAATGAGCTGGTCGGGATGGTTGAAATGAATAGAAACTGAAAGTTCAAAAGTTCTCTTAGCTAAGAGAGGAAACGTAAACATGTAAAGCATTCTTAGGATTTTGGTATATTATGGCGATATAAAAATGTAATTTTTTTTCTTTAAAGGTGACGTCAACTTGAAGATTAATGCTTCACTTGTATCTTATTTGACTAGTGGTTGAATGAACTCCCGATATTCGATGTTCTTTTCCTTTTTCTTTAATTAACCATGAATTCTTTCATGAATCAAGAAACTGGTAACGTTGCGTTTATAGCATGGCGATGCGTGCTTGGACTAAAATAATTCAAATTAACAATAGAAATTGGAACGCTTTCCGTTCTATGATATTTGAACGGCAAAAAACAAATCTTATTCGGTATACTTGTCGATATTTTATCGATAATGTGTAGGAGAAATAAAACAACACTTATTCTGCATAATTTATTTCTAGCTTCTACAAATTTATATACCAAAAAAGTATAAAAAAAGATTTATTTTAAAATTTAAATTCGAACACCAAGTTCATAATTTATACGTTATAAAGACTTATCAAAGACATCTAGCATTACTACAAATACGCACATTAAACACGTTCGTTCTATATGAAACATTAAAAAAATTACGAAAAGATATATCAAGAGCAAAGTTAAAACCAGACTAATACTACTAACTGTTTTTAGCCCCACACTACACTCCATATTTACTTAGTCTTTTAGATATAGATCTTATAATCCATAACATAAATAGAATATATCCGATCTATTTAATATTCAAATATTAATATTACTTAATACCATTTTATTTCTGGACGATAAACACAGTTTAAGAACTACGTGTAAAAAGAAAATGGTGTCTCAATGACCTTGTTGAACATAGCCATATTAATTGAAGTAGAAAATTTTATAACGAATTTTGTCACTGTTTTAAAATTTAATAAGAGTAAAGACAGGATTATCTTCATGTTGAGCAAGGATTGTAGCTCTATGAAGTCACTTAATTTACTGAGACTACGTCTTAATTCAAACTATCAATATATTAATTTCTACTCGTATACAACCACACGGAAGTTTCTGTCCACGTTGTCAACGTAGAAGCCATTCATGTACTGATGAGGATGAACATCTCTCAGCTGAAACAAGAATATTACAATTTTGTTTTTTTTGTTTTTATATCCATGTTTTATATGAGAAATTTTTGAAGATGGCAACTTTCATGAGATTGAGGTGTAGAGTTATAATTATTGTCAAATATATACATATATTCATGATCAACTACTTGGACAGCAGTTTTTGTTTTTCAATAAATTTTAAATGTAATGTGGTTGAAGTAAAAAACCGGTTCATATCACAGTCATTTTAATAAATTACATCAGATTGTTTTCACCAACATGAGTACATTTTATCAAAAATATTTTTGTAGCACAACATTAACAAATCATTCAGACTTTTATACAGAAGTTACAAATTGAGCATTATTTTACATTACAGATGTTTTCTTATCTTATATTTGTTTGTAGAAATTTACTTACAGGCTGTTCAACTTAATAATCTAAATGTGTCATATTAAATACAAAATAAACAAAATTATCAATCACCTACTTATACTAATTACTTTTCAGTTCTCACCTCCTTTCTGATTCGTCTTTAAATTTTGTTATATAGCAACTCCACATATTTCTTAAATCGAGTCAAATGGAATATACATTTATAGAAATCAAACAATTTATAGAACTGAGTCCAGTTTTACATATTTGGATCAAATTTAATAAATAAAAGAATACAAAAAGAGAATTTATTTATGGCTTCTTTATACAATGAATCACTCTATTAGGAACCAGCTTTACATTAATGTCAATTAAACACTATATTGTATGACATTAGTGCCAGACAGTGTATATTTTCTATCAGCTACCTCAATTGCCAGTGGCGCCTCTTCATACCGGTAGCCAGCCTCTGAAGAATATATGAAATGTATCCTAATTATTAATTTTATATAAACACAGACATACAAATTATTAATGTTTTTAGCCTCATTAATCAAAAAGTTCTGAGAATTGGTTTTTAGTGAGAAAAGAATTGTTTTACTTTAACAACAACTTTTTGACTCCTATCAAGGATACAAATATTGATATTAATTATTCTTTTACTAAAAAACTGTTAAAAATTGTATTGCAACCATCAAGTTCCTGGTCAACCAAGATCAAATGTTTCAGATTATTTTGAAATTCTTATGGCAACTCTTGATATACACTACAATCGTTAGAAAAAGTTGTCGAAACCACATAACATTAGCGTTGAAGAGATGAAAAGTTAATTTTTATGATCCATGCTAGTAAATTAATGTTTTAGAATTAGAAGAGATTAAATCGAAAAGGAAGCTTCGTTATTATTTTAAATATCACTTTTAAATTGCCGAAATTTTTGATCCACCTTTGTTATTTTTAAGCAATATAATTATTATTTAAGATAAGCAATATATTTAATATTTCGTGTTTTATATTCTGCTGTCCAAGTTTACATTTTTTATGGGCCTTAAAATATGTAGCAATAAATTATATTTAAATATATCGACTCAAACGGTTAAAGAGTATATTAAAAAAAAAACTGGGAAACTTTAATGGGAAATATTATAATTACCGATGGAACCAAATACTTTGTTCTTTTAAAAACTCAATAAAGCCTAAAGAGACAAATAAATCAAAATTATATATCTGAAAAACAAATATTTCGATAATGCTTTAGAATATCATTGTAAATTAATCATGATATATAATTTAACCAAATATATGATTTTATGTAATATAATATATTGATGATTAAAGCATTTGTTTTGCAAACTTATTACTTACCACATTAGTAGTCAAATAAGATCTAACGTCCAAAGTCTCAATGCTCTCTGGTTCATCATCTTCACAGACTGTCAAACAATCATAGACAATAAATTAATATATATTTTTAATCTTAATTATCTTTTTATTAGCTGATAGACGCAGGTGTATTAAGGAATGTTTTGCTTGTTTTGTCTGTGAGTAAAGGCTAGGGTTCACCGCACGATGTGGAAATGTTTTTGTTATCAAAGATACGAAAACATTAATTAGGGTAAAAATAATAACAAAACATTAATCAAAGGTTACTTTAGGTTGATATGGTTCTGTGAACTCGTGTGTGAAAAAAAGTAGATTTATACCCGCTAGCTATTTCTTCTTAAGAAACTTAAATTTTTTAGATAAAATTTTGTGATACCATTTACGTAGACATTCATTTCCCAAAGAGGGTTGATAGGCAGGCGGCCGGTCGTAAAAACAATTAGCCAAAACTATTCACAAAATGTAAGGCAGACCCTGGCTAAAGCTAGGAAATTGCCAGGAAGAAGATACATAAACGTTCATGGATTAATTCAAATAAAACTGATTTTTTCTGATTTACTTTTATGTATTTTGCATTGTTTTTGTATGTGTTTTAATTATTTTTATCCAATTATTTATAATATTGATAGTTCGCCTTGAAGAACAATAACATACTGGGTGTCGTTTGACCGATATTATATCTATCTAAACCTGTTCTTATCACAACACGTTTTAATCACGTGTAATCGTCTCTAGTGCATCAACAACATAAATTAAATGTCAAAAATTGTTCTACTTAACTATTGTTATTTATGATACTTTCATTTCTTTAATAAATAATACTTTTGAGTCCTAATTTAATAATGTTCATTACTTTAAAAATATTTCTTAATCCTACTAATATTAGAATTCCGAAGATTTGTCACCAGAAAAAATTGTTTGTTGATCTATATATAAGGCGGCCAACTTTCCGAAAACTGAATGCGGGACTTAACCTTTCGTGAATGGCGGGGGGGGGGGGGGTTGTTAGGGATTGGGAATGTCATAAAAATCTTCGCTTCTGCCCATATTAAGTTTAAGTACTCTCTTACGCGTCATGAGTTCAGAAGAAAGAAAGAAAACGAGATTAGCGCGGGCGCGATACGCTTGTCCCTATTATAGGTAATCTGTGTTCCTACACTGTTGACCGTGGTATGGGTGTTGTGTCGAAGTCTAGTAGAAAAATAGGGATGCGGGACATGCGGGACGCATACAACGTTTTGCGGGACTATTTTACTAATAATTTCAAAGCGGGATTTCGTCTAGAATTGCGGGACGGTCCCGCAGAATGCGGGACGGTTGGCCGCCTTATCTATATAAAGCAAATACACTTTAAAGACTTAGATGAAAACTTGCAATAATGCGGTTTGGACTTTAGAATAACACTAAGCCTATAATTATTTCGAAATTTCGTATCGATTTGCAGATTCAATACAACAGTTTGAAATGAAATTCCGTGACGCAGACAACAGATGTCGCTACCGGTTGTTTACTTTATCTAAGGTTTTAACAAAATGTTCATTTATTTTGAGGCTAATTCCGAAATCGCAAATATTTAGACCTGTTATATGTTCATATCTGTTATTCAGTTATTATATACGAGTATGTTCACGTGAAAGACTTAATCACCTCTACATAGTGTTAAGATGTTCATATCTTATGTTATTAGGAAGTAGGTTATTGACAGAAAGGGGTCAAACGTTCAATGTCTTTAAAAATTAGTAAACAAATTATATACATAAAAATATTCTTAATGATCTCTCAACACGTGACATTAAAATTTAAATGATAATAAGAACTCATGAAAAGAGATTTAGTTATATGAAAAGAGACTTATAAAGACCTAAATTATAAATTAAACATTTGTGATATAAAACAAAGTTAAGGATGATTGAAGTGTTATTATGATATATTATCTTACCTTCGGAGGGCAGGGTTAACCAGAATCGTGTCCTACATGTATACTGAAGCCCTGGTGGTAAATTTTTCTTGAAATTCTTCACCGATGCTGTCAATATCTTGGCAGCGTCAACCAGGAGCGAGGCTCGCCAGGAATCAGCGTATATCAGACGCATTGATGACTGGGCGGCCGTAGAACATACCATGGGATACAACTCCTTGTGACGACGAAGATTGTAGAACATGCCACCTGGTAATAGAAATATGATAAGGATATAGAAGTAGAGAGGTGAAAATACATCAGGTCAAGTGTACTATTTACGATAAGTATAATGAATTAGTTTTAAAATGTTATATGAAGCTTGTCAAATAATAAAATAATAATCATATATTTTATAAAAGTACTTTAAGGAAACCAGAACAAGATAAATTGAAATCGTAAGTAGAGTTGGGTAGTATCTTAATACAAAAATAAACATATTACAAATTATGTATTGTAAAGATATATTCTGACATAACTTATAAGTTTTGTAAGTTAAGTATAAAACCTTCCTGAATTAAGAAAAATATTACAATTCAGTTTAGGAAACTAAACTCTCTTCAAGATTAAGCATTCTGAAGATAGCATGAGATATAATGGAAAGGTATTTTGCTGAAATCAAAAATAAACCTTAGCATGGCTGTATATTTCTAAACTTTTTCTTTTTGGAATTTAATAATAAAAAAAACAATTCTATGGACAAATGCCATCTCATAAAAAATACTACAGAATAAATGTCACTATAATTTCGAAAAATTTATGCCCCACAAAAAAAGATGACAAACAGCATGATTTGTAATTGATTTATATAAATTAATAGGAACGAACGACAATGTCAGTACAAAGTAACAAGTGTTAGGTTAACCTTGGAGAGTTTATCAGTATAATGATCACATAACTAATGTTACTATGAGAGACTTGCATCCCATACGATCAAGTTTATCAAAAGGTTAACATAATGAGTTGTACAACAAGGTTCAGATGAGAGGACATTAAATATATACTTAGTTACTTATATAAAATTATTTATGAGATACTCTCCAAAATTTTTCTAATATTCAAAATTATATGATATCTCAAAACTAGACTAAAATCAAAGGTTCAGACAAAATTATCATAAAATATTTACTTTTTCATACATATGTTTAACTGTAATAGCTTTAATTTAAGCATAAATTAATTTCAATATATTTTTATAGAAATGTTAATCTATGTATAATCCTACTAATATTATAATTGCGAAAGTTTGTGAATGTGTATGCGTATGTTTGTTACTTCTTCACGCTCAAACGGCCGAACCGATTTTGATAAAATTTTGTATACAGGAAGCTGACGTCCAGGAATAACACATAGGCTACTTTACATCCCGGAAATCTCGCGGGTAACACCGCGGGGCGCAGCTAGTCTAGTTATATATAATACACTAATCAACATACATTGAGGTTTCCTGTTGACGAAGAACTCCAATGTCCCATGCCACATGTCCAGCCTCACTCCCACTATACTGCCGCGACAAAAGCCGGATGAATCTCTTGACGACACGTCATCGTGACGGACGGCGCCCGTGTACGAGAAGCCGTAGGATTCACCGTCACTGCCCAGCAGAGAGGTGAAACGGAACTGGGAGTGCTCGGTATTGATCCTGTCGGTTGCCAACCCTACCATCTGTATACAAAATAAACATACAATGAGATCTAAGACTTACTGTATACATTTAAATAAAACTTATTTGGATTACTATACATATTTTATTATATTAAAATTAACCCTTTGCTGAAAAGTAACCGAAACAAGAGTATGTAGTTTTAAAATAATAAAATACTCAATCCAAATAATATTAGTTTCATTAAAATAAACATACTAGATCAAATGTAATAATAAGCAAAAACAATGTCATAATCATTATAGTCATATTAGTTATTAAGTTTAAAAGTATATATTTTTGTATGATAAAATTATCTTCAGTGTATTGAACACTGTATGTTTAATATTCTAAGCTCAAAACTCATCAGTTCATATTTAATGCACACACTTATGAGATATTTTGATCATAACAGGCTATTTCTCTTATATGTAGTATAGTAATAATTAAGGCGGCCAACCGTCCCGCATTCTGCGGGACCGTCCCGCAATACTAGACGAAATCCCGCTTTGAAATTATTAGTAAAATAGTCCCGCAAAACGTTGTATGCGTCCCGCATGTCCCGCATCCCAATTTTTCTACCAGACTTCTACACAACACCCATACGCGCCCACGGTCAACAGTGCAGGAACACAGATTACCTATAATATGGACAAGCGTAGCGCGCCCGCGCTAATCTCGTTTTCTTTCTTTTTACTTAAATTTAATATGGGCCATTGCGAAGATTTTTATGACATTCCCAATACTTACACACCCCCCCCCCCCCCGCCCCGCCATTCATGAAAGGTTAAGTCCCGCATTCAGTTTTCGGAAAGTTGGCCGCCTTAGTAATAATTTTGATCATATTGTATAGACTAGGCTCTGAGTAGGCATCTAAAACTATTGAGATTTGTACATGACTCAGCTATAGAGGTAATTTTTATAACAATTGTTGGCTAAGTAAGCAAGAAACTAAATTATATTGGAATTTAATAGATATATGTAATGTCCAAATATTTTTTAATTATTAAAATGTAGTTAGCATTCTGATTATTTAAACACTTTTTATATTAAATTTGAAAGCACAACTGTACTGATTATAGAAAGATTACTATAATATATACTTTCTTGCATTCTTTGTATTTCAAATATGTTTAATCTATAAATAAAACATTCTCAAATCGATTAAAACAAGGACGATTCAGAATTATCCATAATGGGTGATGGCCAAAACCGTGCAATATTTATAAAGACAAAGAAATAAGCAAACAGACTTACGATATCTGTTCCATATGTTTCCGATAGTATTTTGACCTCCCAGTAATAGTGATGGTTTAGTTTCATTGGCAGCACTCCCTTGACGGCTGCGGTTCCCGTGCTGAAGATCGGATGGAAGGTGACCTGCTTCCTGTCCTCGCTGACCACAACACTGCTGGCATGGGAACCATCTGGGAGATCCCATCCCCATTCAATAACTGGAGATTCATGAATAAAATTATTCGCTATATTATTACAACATTTCCTAGCTCCTAAGCTACTAAGTACTAAGTAGGTTCTAAGTATAGCACAAAGTGCGGTCATGTGTGGATTCATCCAAAGATGAAATGCTTACATTATATATTATAGACGATTCTTTAAAAAGCAACATTTCAAATATACAGCTGTTAAAGTTTCTGTCTACTTATTTAGTTTTCATTAATATCTTATTCATCAAAAAAACTATGAATATTGGGAATTTTGAGTGTCCAGAAGGATGTATGAATATGATATAAATATTTTTTTAATTGTACAACTACTTTTGTTTCATAAAAAATTCTGAACTCCGATTTTTCAAAGACTCATCTGCCTCACTGTAGTAGCATAACATACACAGAAAGTATTTTGTTGTTCTCTATAAATCTAAACAACCTTGACTATAATTCCACCTGTCGGTAGGTGTAAATAAAAAAGAGCGTTATAAATGCACTCACTGAATATAAGTATTCCTTACCACTATTATCTTCGCCACATCCACAAGCGCCTCTGTCTACCCATAACACAGGTACCTTTTTATTCCAGCATTGGCAATAAGGTTTAACGGGTTTACCGCTCTTGGAACGAGGATGACAGACCAACATCACGATCACAAGAATAAAAAACTATAAACAAAGATAACTAATCCAAGTGAACATTAAAGGTATAGTCATAACATGTATATGAACTCGGTATAGTCAAAATATTTAACGCATCTCGTTCTTCTAGTATTCTCTCGAAACGCAACATCAATGTAACAAACGGAATGATTTCTCTTTCAATATAGACAAGCTTAATATATGACTGTCGATGGCAAACTACTGACAACCGAATACTAACTGACAACGGTGTCAGGCATAGAATATAATAACACAGACAGTAGTAGGTAACCGAGAACTGATATTTATATGACCTTCACAACGCTTTTAAATACAAATATATAACAATATACAGATTCATTTAAATTATTTATTTTTTTACCTAATTCTAAAATAATCCTTCATAAAAGAAATTTTTAATTTCACCTTTTGTTTTTTTATATAACTAAGAATATAGTAGTTTTACTTTTTATTAGATATAAGTTTTAATAGGTACGCTTCTTATCAGTCTCAGCATAGTTCAAAAATTCTCAAATCAAATCTTTTCGTTTTAGCGCCAACTTCAAAAACGTATTGCCTTATTTATTTCAATAAAAATAAATATGTAATTCAATACAAACATTACAAGTATCAGTTTCATCTACAAATTATATTATATCTTGAAAATAATAATGTTTTAAAGAGTTAAATTATCTATAATTGCTCAAATTTCTTTACCTGAAGGCACGATATTGATTTTCTCAGTCACATTTTAACTTCAAATGTTTATTTTGTACCGCGCGCGCCGCCAACCCCGCCCACTAATGGCTGTCAAGTGTACCTTATAAACATCAACTGATGTATATTTTGAATTTAATTATTACATACTATTAAATTAGTACCGTTTATCAATCCTTCATAGTTATTTTATTCCTTTGTTTTATATTAAAATATTATATACCGTTTCGAAGAAAATGCTGTGTAACTGTAACTAAAAAATATAATATATAACACGAATTTTTTTAAGTATTTATTTGTGTAAGTAAGTTAGCCCTGCTTCGGTTTTAAAATGGTTTAGTTAAATCTCGACAAATATGACGCAGATAATTATGTTCAACCAATATTATTTAATTTTAAATGTATGATTAATTCGCTCGCCATTTAAGTCGCGAATATAAAATATTTTGTCGTCAAGTGTTTTGCTGTGGGTGAGCTCGATGCATTTCTGGATCGACAAACGAAGCCAGTGCGCCTACAGCGGCCGCCACCGTGTACCATCTTCACTATCTGCTGGTAAGGAATTTACAAACAAATATATTTGGTACATTTTATTCAGTTTTAATTAAATAGCTTTAAACGCTTAAAATATTTATTTTTCCGTAATATTATTATGTTCATCAAGGTGTTAATGTTTGCGTCCATGCAATTAAAATTTCTCGTAAAGGATTACAATAAAAATATATATAAAAAATATATATGTTAAATAAAAAAAATATCGAAATATACTGAGTCTGAATAGTTATTAGGTAAAATTATTAAAATACCACGTTAGTATAACAGTTAGAGTAAAAAAAAATAAGTTTTAAATATTATTGACATATATAATTGATTATCAAACAATGAATTTATTATTTTTAATGTAAATAATTAAATTTATAAAATAATAAAAATTTTAATACCATGTGAGACCTCAATTTTTTTTATATGATGGCATTTTTTGTCAATTAAATTATACATTCAAAGATAATATATTATCATCATGTGTTTTATGTTTAATTAACAGTCATTATGTAAATTTAATTATTTCAATAATAAGTTAACTGTTTACAGTATAATATCTTTATTTATTGCATGGATGCCTCATACACTATCATCGGTACTATATATCAAGAATATCAGGAGTAACTATATATCAAGAATATAATTTGTTATGGGCCCTTAAAAAATGAGCCCTGCATATTTAAATCCTGTGATCATAAAACACTTTAAGAATATGAGCTTTCTATTTGTATACATAATTGTTACAAAGACAATATACACATGGTATTTATTTAAAGTCTTAAACATAACTATACTTCAGAGAATCAACAGCAGATCAAAATGCCTTTCAAAGGACTTTCTTCATAAATTAAATTAATCATGTTTACTTTTTTTTGTATCTTTGTTCCGCTAAATAATTCGTGCATGATGTGTTCTCCTGTAAATACATAATTGTGTCACTTAGTTTTAAGATTTATTCATTGAAAATTGTATTTATTTAGTGTACACATTGTTGGAGAACCAAATAAATAAATAAATAAACTGTTCTCATTTAACCCAGTATTGAGAATTACCAGCATAGAGTGTATGTTTTATATATTTGTAGGTGTGGGTCGTTCCCGTGGGAGAGTGTGTGCTGCTACGGGGAGAAAGGGCATGGCGGCGCCGGTGCACCGGTTCGCGCCCGTGGAGTGTGCACCGCGCCGCCCTAGACCTCTCAGACACTATGGGTAAAACATACTAATAAAATAACTGGTAAAAGACAAATAAAAATAGCTATGGTAGCCTAAGGGCGCGGGTTCGAACCCTGGCAAGTACCAATGTGATATTCCGAGTCATGTGTACTGTCTAAGAATGTTTTAGACACCACTGACAGACAGTGAAGGAAAACATCGAGAGGAAACCTGAACTTATAATTTAAAATTTGTAATCACAAACCCGTTTTGAGCAAGCATGGTGATTAATGCTCAAATCTGTTCCATATGTGAAGAGGCCTTTGCTCGACAGTGGGCTCTGATAGGCTGATAAAAGATAAAAGTTAACTTGATGGAAGATAAACAAAAGTTGTTATTAATATAGATTAAAGTTAATGTTAATATATCATTAAAATTAATTCAATAATATCTACACTAATATGGAAATATTTTTCAGTAACATACATGTAACGTCATCAATAAAAATGTGATGGATGCTTTTCAATTAATATTATTTAATGAATCACAGGCCTCCTCCGATGCCTGCTGTTCATTCCTCGAGGCGTCACAATGAGGACGCTAGTCTGTACGTGGAGATACCCCCGGAGCCCCCTCAGCCAACCATCGCCAGCCTGGCCGCCGCTCGCAGCGTCACCCCCGACACCCTCCTCCGGACCGCAGCCCTAGGGCTCCACCACTCGCCCATGATGGCTCCACACCTCAAATTCGGAATGCTGGTGTCTTTCGCTCTGGCAACAGTGTTCCTAGCCGGTGCTAAATACTATTTTGATAGACATGTTAGTATCTTTGGTTTATAATGTTAATTATTTTGTATGAAATAGATAGATGGATAAGATAGGTTAATAGTAGGATTCATGAATGTTTGTCGCTTTGTGTATAAAATATGCTAAATTGATTTTGATAAAACTCTCCAACAATTAAACTCAGATATTGGACCAACAAATACCCTATAATATATTCAATCAGATCCTGTAGTTTCTATGGTAATATATTACAACTGTTTTATTTAGTATGTAGTATGAAAATCACATCACAGTTAAAATACTATGATTACTATTTACTACTGTAATTATTTATTTGTTAAAATAATTATTTTGTTTAAGAATAGTATTCGGTAGTTTTTTCGTTCATCCTTCAGTTTATCCATCATCAATATATGAACATACGATTCTATATTGCTACTAATATTATAAATGCGAAAGTAACTCTGTCTGTTTGTTACGCTTTCACGCCAAAACCACTGAATTGATTTTAATGAAATTTGTTACAGATATAGAGTTGACCTTGAGAAAGAACATAAGAGAGTTTTTATCACAGACTTTTGAAAGGTTCTCTTGGAGACGCGATATAACCGAACTCCACGCGAAAAAAGCTAGTATATAATAATATATATGTTTGTATATGTATTCCCAGCTGGTCCGCGGCTCTCCGTCCGAGGGTAGCGGCGAGGCGGGCGTGGTGTGCGCGGCGGTGGCGTGTGTGTGTGGTGTGGGCTGCGCGCTGTCTCTGTGTAGAGGGCGCTCCGCCCCGCCGCCTGCGCCCCCCGAGCGAGTGTCGTCCACGGCGCGCCGCCCTCTACCAAGGACACCTACACGAGCACCCCCGCATAGAGAGGTGATAGCAACAGCCTATACTCCCTATCTCTTCTAACATCAACTATACATATTTATAAATAATCGATCTATCTATCTCGCTTCTAGGTCAATCCTTACGTCATAACTCCTGACCAAAGTATCCTTCTTGTAATTAATTTAGTTAAACACTCGATAATCCACGTCAGCTTTTTGTGGTCTGTTCCTTACATGCGGAAGAACGTATTCATATGATAGAACAAGAGCCGTGATCACGGTTGCTGCAAAGGCAACGAAACATAGGGATCATGTACACATCAAATTATAAAAAACGTGCGCGTAGATTCCGAAAATATTAGTTTCATTTAAATGTACACAAACTAACATCTTTTATATCATTATATTTCAGAATTAAACTAAATATTGTTTCAGCTTATAATATTTTTATATAGTTTGTATGTTTGAGCCAACATTAGCTGGTGATTAATAACGAATGATTTTTCTTCAAGGTGACCATATCCGAGCCTACCGAAGACATCTCTCTAACCGTCATATCTCGCGCGGACAATGAACTGCCGGGGCCGAGCTCCTCAGCCTCTGCTACAGGCGAGGCGCCGCCCCCGTACCACATCGCCGTACTACTGCCGGCGCCTTCGCCCCCGCCGCCAGCGTACCACGCGCTCAGCTAGCGTGAACTTCGCCCCGCCGCAGAGCTCATCATATAATGGTCACGCGGCTGGGCGTTAGTGACGTTGCTGTAGTTATAGGCGACATCGACTGTGTTGATATAACATGTCTTACATACATCAGCTTTTTGATATAAAAAGTCTTGCCTAATTTAGTTGTTAATGTTCTGTGTACTTTAAGTGGCTCGTCTAGTATAAGTATGTTTCTAGTTAATATTGTTGTTGTAACATTCAGTTTGATACAGCGGCCTAAATATAATAAAATCGTAAAGATTGTACTATTTTTAACGTTTCAATATTTCATTTTAAGCATATTCTTTTCACGTTAACTTACCGATGCTTCTCTGTACGCACAAATAGATTATACGATATATTTATTTTTAAATAATAGTCGCAAAGCTTGGAATACTTTTGTGTTAAATAATGAGTGAATTTAAATCTATTAAAAAAGTTTTATATAAAATATATATACTAAATTGTAAATCATTGTGTACACATGTTTGTTTAGAAAAATATTTTTAAATTGAATTACATATATTGTAAGGACGCTTCATGTGTTTTATATGATACTGTGTTAAGTTACGCCTAAAATGTACTGATATGTAATAACGAATTTTAAATGACCACGGAGCTAGCAACACGTTAACTCGTATAATGATAATTGTGTTATTAGATTAATGTTTGTCTTCTAAACTTGTAATGTTATCTTGTAAGGAATGTAAGAAGAGCCGTGGAATTAATAGCAAATATACCATCATTTATTATTTTTAATATCTAAATCTACATACCTCAGTAGAAAGTTTAGATGTCTTCAAGTTTAAGACATTTCAATGTAATACAAGCCTTCTATTGAAACTTTCTTCATCAACATTTACTTCACAAACAATAAAATTATTTCTCTATATTAAATTGTGAATATTTACATATATATAAAATTGAAAGTGATGTAGTATTTTCTTTCATAATTGAATTATTTAAAACATTCCATTATTATTTATGACTAATTTACTCATTTTTCATGTCATACCATCATCATATTTTTGTCATTTTAAATAACTAAATTTTTGTCATTAGATAGACAATTTATATGTACAGTGTAAGCTATGTAGCGAAATTCTTAGAAAAAAGGAATTGAGTACATCATAAAAAGGTTTTTTTAGTTAGAGGAAAAAATAGTACGTATTTAAATTACTTGAAAATATGTATGTCATAAATTTAAGCTGTGTCTTTCAATGTATGTTGTTTATATCTTAAGATGTAGTTTGATCTTCATTGAAAAATATAAATATTCTTATAGTCTTGTGGCCATACTAAACTTGTACCATCATTGGTGTGTTCCTTATTAATATAAACATATAAACTTGTTTTCTTCTATGCCAATCATATTATCACAAGCACTGTGATTCCCTCTTTGGAGATTTCCTTCTACAAATTTCTCTCCAACTTTCATACTTTATCAATTTTTACAAGATTTCAGCTTCATCAGCATTAAAAATATGTGACAGTTATATTTATTGGAGCATAAATAAATTTATATATTGTTTCTCAATTTTGATTGGTCACTATGATATAAGAAGTTTTTCAACATCAGGATAACAATGAGAACTAAATAGATATTAGAAAATTCTACTATTTAAAAGAGTTTTTCGTTTAATAGAAGTTCACTGTGTGTAGTTTACACTGTACATTAATATAAATAAATAGTCATGTGAGTGTTGGTGTTCAAATACCTAGGATAGGATGTAATGTAATAAATAAATGTAACTTTATTTACTGTTTTAGATAATGTAAGATAATGCTTAAAATATTTTTGGAAAATTAGTAAACGTTCTAGTAGAAGCAGTTAGTTATATTACCAGCAGATTCATGAAGATGGGAGAATGATGAAGAAAAGATTGAACAGGGATTGGAGCTTCCACAACTTGGTTTGATGATTGAATTATGATGAATGTCCGTTCATAGATACATTTCTTTCATACTATCTGATTTAAATTATGATTATTTTAATAATTATAATAGAAAATGTATTTTTTTAAGAACGTTACTTTGTGTATAGTGTTAGTGACCATATTAAGTACAATACTTGATGCTTTAATATTATGTTAGTGTAACATGATCTCCGGATACTGTAATGTGTTAAATGTGATGTTCATATCGGATGCGATGTCATTATTTTGCATTTATAGACGATGTTATTTTTGTATGTACCTTTGTAGAGGGCGCTGCGTTTGTAACTGACGCTTTAATAAACTTATGTAAATGTCTTTTGATTTATCCTTATTTAGAATATAATGAACTGATTAAATGTCTTATTATCCTATTGAATTACAGTGTGGGGTATTTAGGGCAGCTTTTTTATTTACTGACAATGTTCTGAGTAGTAATTCTCGCTTAATATTGAAAGAATACAAACGAGACGAGTTGAAATAAAGAAAATAATGGTATATTAAGTAGCTCTTATACCCGATTTAATTATCAGTTTTACATTTCTATGACATAATGTAAACGAGTGTTTAAATATAATTTTTTCATATACAATAGATTAGCTATTTTTTATTTTTAGCCGGATTCATTTGTATTAATTTGTTAACAACGAGTTCAGAAGAAGACGAGATGGATGTCAAAGTAGTATTTTCGTATAAGATACTTTAAAAAAAAAACGGAAAAAAGGAATTCGCGATGTAAATGTAAAATATTTTGTTCTTCAATGTCGATCTACATGTCCATATTATACATACCTATATGTATTTAAATAGACGGAAATACTGTTCAGGGTTCATAATAAATAAGGGTTTCATAATAAAATCAGGACATGCTCATCTCATCATATATTTAAAGTCAATAACATTAAGTACATTTATTACAATATTAAGGTTACATAGTAAAAAATAAATAGATTTATGCTAACTATGTGTTAATACGGAGAGACAGTGCACTTATCACGATACGAAATGCTAACATTATTATTTTTTGGTAAATTCACAAAGATTTAGAAAATTGGAATGCAATATAAAGGCATTTCTTCACATAAGAAATTATAAGTTCATCTCGTATAATCTCATAGATTCTTCACAATAAGAGAGATTAAGATTTCTGAAAGCAAATACATAAAGCGTACTTCATCATAAGACACGTTACGTCGAAAAAAATCACAAAATAATAACAACATTTAGAATATTAAAAAATAACAAACACTTGGATCATAATAAAATTAATTACGTATACGTCAAAAGATTCACGAAGACACACGACAAAAGAATCTCCCGCGCGACCACATACTAAACGAGGAATACTAGGTTGAATATAATAATTAAAATATATAGCAACACTCAACATTAATTATAAACCTCACTGGGCCGAGACGAAATACAAGATGAAGAGACTGTGTGATGTGTGGCGAGTGGTTCAGTATGTAGAGTTAGGGGTCCGCGGGTCACACTCGCTGGATCTCGAACAGCTTGACGTCCGTGTCGTACCAGATGGGAGGGTCCACGTTACTAGACACACGGACATGAAACGATAATTATATATACATATACTATAGAGATATTGACGATAACATGATATTAAAACTATTTATACATAACCAATAAACATGTTAGATAACGATTATCAAAAATGAGTTTTAAGAGACAGTTTGGAAGTTGTAACGCTTATAGTTTTTGGTCTGTGATAACTTGACTCTTTTTAAATGTTTAATTCATATAGTTTGATGTGAACTAAGATCATTTTACGAGTATGTATAGTAATATTCACCGTATGTATATAACCCCCCACATGTAGGTCCTGAACCAGGCGGCCGTGCCGGCGTTGGCCTGGTACTTCCTGATGAGGATGGGGTGCGGCACCGGCAGCAGGCCCACCAGCGTGCCGTGCTGCAGGAAGCGGAGGATCTCCGACTCGTCCGTCAGGCCTCTAAGAACATATATAATATATATAGTGGAGGTGACTGACTGATAGTAATAGTTCCTGTGGCGCACTCACTTGTCGATGCAGATCTTCTCGACCTGCGGCACCAGCACCTGCAGCAGCCTCATGATGGTCTGCAGCGGCAGCCTGCTCCGCCAGCCGGAGACCCACTCGCCGGTCGGCCGCCACTCGCCCGCCGCCTCCTGGCCGTCCGACGAGCACGGGCTCTCCTTCTATAGAAGATCGATACAACGGACTCGTCACACGTGTGATGTGGTTACACTTTATATACACTGGGTTGATTGGGCTCAGGGGAGATTATTGATGCATTTAATAATATATAACTATATGTTAAAATAAAGGACAAGTAAACTGATTGGTTACGATGTGTTCAACACTCTTGATGGGAATGGTCCTCGCTGGTGATGGTAGCTGGTGTCTTGGACCTCTCGGGGCGTATGTGTATGTGTGCGTGTGTGTGTATATGTGTGTGTCTGTCTGTGTGTGTGTGTATCACTGACCGTAGTGTGCGCGTCCTCTCCGTCTCCCCCCGAGCGTGTCGTCAGCGGCGGGTGAGCTGACTCGCGCTCCGTCATCGTCGCTATTGCTGGAACAGATGAACCTTTCATTAAGTATACAAGCTTTTGCCCGCGACTTCGTCCGCGTGGAATAGTGACTTCTGACAGAAAAATATAGATAGCTGTGCCCGCGACTCCGTCAGCGTGTAACTCCTTGATTATTGAATTGATCGCTCCACAGATTTATTATAAGTATAGAAGAAGGTAACTTTGGTGTTTTTCTACACAGATTTACATGATTCTTTTTTTACTGAATAGGTCATGTTAACTTTTTAAAATTAGGGATGAGTTACAGTGTTGTAAACGTTAGAGTAGACAAATACAATCAGAAATCTCCGAATTGCTAAGCTATCGGGACTTTCACGTGTTATTGTGAATCAACAATAAAAGATAGACATATGCCGTCGAACAAGACTTTTTATATAATTTTAAGGAGAATATTTCCCTCATACATGATTTCTATGTATCTTTAACCTAGTAACTTCTCCCGTTTTCCCAATATTTCTCTTCACTGCTCTGCTCCTATTTATCGTAACGTAATGAAAAGTATACTGTAACCTGCCCAGGAGTATGAAGAATAATTGTGCCAAATTTCGTTAAAATCCGTCCAGTAGTTTTTGTTTCCATAACGAATATACAGACAGACAGACAGACAAAAATTTTACTGATTGCATTTTTGGCATCAGTAGCGATCTCAACCACCCCCTGATAGTTAGTTTTTAAATATATTTTATGTACAGAATTGATCGCTCTACAGATTTATTATAAGTATAGATAAGTTGTAAGTGTCAGTCTGTCTGTGTGTGTGTGTCGTACCGGGTGTGTCCGGTAGTGTAGCGTTGAGTGTCCCAGGCTCCGCGGGCTGCGCGGGCCGGGAGCCCTCCATGGCTGCCTCCGCTACGGACTCCGCACTGCGCGTTCTGAAAACATTATAATATAACACAATAATATTAAAACAACACTATCACAACAAACATAGTATTTAAAAACTAATTCGTTTTAAATGTTTATACATCAATAGTTATATTTTGCTTGTGTTTGTATGTCACTGGTCTTTGTTAGCTCCTGTATATCGTAGTAAGCGTGTAACATATATTTCCAGTAGTAGTGACCTGGGCAGCGCCTTGTGTCCGCCGGTGGAGCCCCGCGCCTTGGCTGCGGCCAGTGAGCGGGCGATGGCCGTGTGCTCGTGAGGCAGGTTGGCCAGAGAGTGGAACACTGAACGCTTGCGAATGATCGTGTACACCAGGTTCGAGTTACCTGGAACATAGAATATAGGGAGGAAGTTATTACAATATATATAAACGTGTTATATGTTGTATTTAAGTAACAAATTATAAGACCATCTATTGTACCTGTTATTTATATTTATGTGTCAAATTTGAATAAAGTCAATCGGTAAACGAAAGTGCACGTTTTAATATTATAAAGTTCAAATGTTAGAGTGTACTAAGAATAGAGTACTTGGTATGTTTACCTTGAGTCTGCGCAACACACACGATTTTGATTCGTGAATCGAAATTCATTATTTTGATATTATTATTAAATGTATGTTATTGAATGAGAAATGACAAACACTCCGCGGGTAGTGTGGTAAAACATAATCACAATGTTCTGTGTGCGCTCACGTGTCTGTGTGCGTGTGCGTGTTTTTGCTTGTGTGCGTGTCTTTATAGTTTTTTTTATTTTACATAAATGAAAAATGTGTAATCGTTATCAATTTAAGTGTTCATTCATTTATCATGATATATATAAATATATATTGACCGTCAAACTGGTACTGTATCATGTTGTTGAACATCTCGAGCAGGAAGAACACGAGCTGGTGATGGTGAGGCCTCGAGAACAGGAACCACGGAGTACTGAAGGCCTCGAGCAGGTGGAGCAGCTTGCTGGACGACACCATCGACAGGGTCTTGAGGTACGGAGACACTGGAGAAAACGTACAGAGAATAAACATATATATATGTATATACACGCTTTACTATGATATATAATAAGTATTGTGAAGGTTTTAAGTTTGATTAAGTTATATACAAGTTTATGTAACGACTTTATTCTCTCGAATCTCAGCTCTTAGTTAATAACATGATACGTCTCTTTATACACATTATTTATTACCATGAAACATATAGTCTAGTAAATATATTGATTATAGTTTACGTCTCGTGAGTACTTCCCTTTAAATTAAATAAATATATTGATTACTGTTTAGGTCTCGTGAGCACTTTCTCTTAAACAGAAGAAATATTATATTCATTATAGTTTATGACCCGAGAGCACTTCCCTCTAAACAGAATAAATATATTGATTATAGTTTACGTCTCGTGAGTACTTCCCCTTAAATAGAAGAAATGTGTTTGTCTCGTGAGCACTTCCCTTTAAACATAGTCGTGAGTAGGTGTGTACCGTTGACTAGTATGGTGAGCAGACAGTCGAACAGCGGCTGCAGCCGTTGGTGGCCGGTGGTGATGATCTTGTGGAACACCACCACCAGCAGGTCGGCGTGCGTGCCCGTGAACACGGGGATGTCCATGGGCACGGTGGCCGTGTACGGCTTGTTGAGGCGCACGCCGAAGTTACGCTCGCCCGACAGCAGCAGCAGGATGAACACGCCGATGTGCATCAGGCCCACGCGGGCTGGACGACACACACACGCATAAACATAATATACATACATACACAACTGTATCAGACCTACTGGAGCTAATGCATGCTTTCACATGTACACACATATATATATTTTGTAGCTAAGTCTTGTCATATGTATGTTAGCCAGTATGTATCTATCTTTAATATATCTCGTATACAGCTATGGGCAGCACAAATATTCACAAATAATATATTTCAGTTGCCATTATGTAAACAGATACTATTTATTAGATTAGAATCAAATTGATATTTACAAAACTCCAACGATGAATGAATAATTTTTTCTACACTTTATAGATATGAAACCTTTTATGGCCTTGTCCGACTCGCACTTAACTACCAACATTCTATTTATTCTATTAAATTCAGACTGCCATAGATTAACATTGAATAAGTAGTCTATCACACCATTTAATGTCAGATAACCCTCATTATTATACAGGGTGAGTGGTGAATTACTATCGATACTTGAGGACGTGATATTTGACGATTATATATGACAAAATAAAAATTAATATAACATAAATATTAATAAACTTCTAAGTAAAGTTGACCAAAAGTTACGTAATTAATTACGCATCGTGTGAACACCCTACAGATTAGGTATACACACACACTCACACATACGCGTGCTCGGCGTGGTGTTGTATCAGCACGCCGCCGCACGCGACCACACTTGGAACACTTGGAACGTGTCAACACTTTATTTATTTATACCGAAATTTGGTCAAAAATTAAGTACCTATTTTTTTTACATAATTCGAATGAGAATCATGTACCGAGTATTCTCCTAAAATATTGATAGTAATTCACCAGTCACCCTGTATAAGTACTAGCTGCGCGCCGCGGTGTTACCCGCGGATTTCCGGGATGTAAAGTAGTCTATGTGTTATTCCTGGACGTCAGCTTCCTGTATACAAAATTTTATCAAAATCGGTTCAGCTGTTTGAGCGTGAAGAAGAAACAAACATACACACACAAACTTTCGCAATTATAATATTAGTAGGATGATCATTATCGATCCAGGTGTTATTACTAAAGCTAGCCTCACTCACACTGGTCTGCTCGTGAGTCGTTGAGGTGGTAGAGAATTGGTACCAGCACTTCCAACACGTCGCTGCTTTTCAACACGTAGTACATGAACTTCTATAAACAGACATACAAGAATCTGTAGTAATTTGTTACGATTTATTTATTATTTCATATACTGTGGCTATGGCCAACTTGTGTTATAGATTTAAGCAAAAATTTACTTGATCGTCTATAAGGAAGAATACTATTGTGAATGAGTCAAATACGTAAGAACTATTATCTCCTAGTCTCATACTTCTATCAGCAATATCAACATCAGTTCGGGTTGATACAGAAACTCACTAACGATATTTCCGTCAAGTTGCTAAGGTTTTATTGCGTGATCAATACTTGGACCTTCAGCTGTTTGAATATTTATTTATTTATTTTATTTTATAGGATCACCAACACAAATGACAATAGTAATACAAATATTATATAGTTAACAATTGAACACACTTGATAATTGTATACTTTTTATAGGTAATCACAGCATGCACTAAATATATTAAACATTAGTAATTATCACAAGATTGTTTTCTTAGGATCAATTATATAATTAAAAACAATTTAAATTATTTAACAGTTTTATAACAATATCAATTTATTTGTTTTACATGCAAAGAATTATGTACTAAAATTATGATATTCTACCTTATTGTAGTCGCACATCTTCCAAAACAGCACCAACAGTTCCTGATGCAGCGCCACCTTCTTATTGGAGTTTGGCAGATAGGTCTGTTGCAGTGGATTGTTCAGAAGTCTAGTGACTCCACGCAGCGCGAACTGGAAGTCTTCATCACGATGGATGCGGGACAAGTAGTTGATGAACAGGTTGTCGGGCAACCTCTGAGGGTATGAACAGTGATGATGACTTAAAATATTCGCTAAAATAGATTTCATTCATTCATCATCACCCTATCAGAACCCACTGCTGAGAGGAATCTTCTCACATGGAGAAGGTTTGAGCATTAAACACGCTCGCTCAAGACGGGTTGGCGATTTCACACTTATAATTTGAAATCATAAGTCCAAGTTTCCTCACGATGTTTTCCTAGTCAGTGGTGTCTAAATACTCTTAGAAGGTATATATAACTTGGAAAAATCAGATTGGTACTTGTGAGATTTGGGAAAAAGACTTACCTCATCTGAATCTTCATTGACCACGTTACTTGTGTCATGATCCAAGGTCACTATCAACACTTGGAGCGCCACCTTTGAAGAAAAATGACCTTACTGTGTTACATATAACATGAGCAACAACCAAATTAATGTGACCCCTTCTCCACTCCAAAATGTACCTCCACCAAGGGTTCCAAGGTGTCAGCGAACAGTAGATGGTTGTAAGGTAATCCAAGGCCGACGGGATCATACGAACAAACAGTGTTGAGGAGTGAGGTGAAGAGGGGCAGGGCGTGTCTGTTGTCTGGACTTGTTAAGTACCTGTGGATTTATTAGTAGCAGGTTTATAAACAATATTAGTGACCCGGGGGCCGGACCAAAACCTCAGAACATCACAAGACAGATATTAGTTTAAGGAGCTCATTCAATAAACATAAGTTAGTGGACTATACAAGATATATTTCAATATTTACGCAATCCACTTATTGTGGTGTGTAGCAGCCTGGTTGGCTGGTTTGTATATTGTTTCACTGAAGCATGTCAACAGAAGTCTCAAGAGTTCAGCTCGAGCTGCCTCATGCTGGGCGGTCCGCGGCGGACTGCGAGCAAAGCCGACGCCGCCCGCCCATATATACTCGCAGCTGTCCAATGAGGAGAGTTCTTCAGCTCGTTCCTGATATTAGAATTAGTATTATTAGTAATAAACTATAATAATAGAAGAATGTTTAAATTTTAGTGTTTCTTGTTAAACTGCACTTACTGGTCCAACTCGTTTGGTGCTAACAACTGTAAAGTCAGGACAAAACAGCAGGTCCTGTAATACAAAAACAATTATTAAATTGATATGAATACAGAATAGTTATATTGGTAACCAGAATTAGGATCTTACGCAAATGGCATTGATCAGTGATTGAGCGAGAGGGATGGATTCATTCTCTCCGGAGGCCGGCAGTTGGGACCAAAAGAAACCGTGCCACTCGGGCTCCTCCAGCATGTGTGGTAACAAGCGGGTTAACAGACGAGCGCAGTTTAATGCTGCCAATTAAAGATATAGTAATATTAGTAACTCATTAGAGAATTATATTTTGATCATTTTAAATAACGACAAATATTGCAAAAATTATGAATGGCTCCTTTTTGCCGTTTTAAGGATCAATGACAATAAAAGATAAAGTATGTAATGCATGATAATAATTTTCTTAACAAAGAATTACAGTTCTATAATTAGAATACAAATATGGCAGAAATATTCAAGTGTGCAAGTACTTGGCGTAGAAAACTTATTAATGTAATTTAGGTAAATATTAAAATAATAAGAATTAGGATTAAAGTCTGTTTATTCTTTAGAATAACTATATTTAATATAGTCTACAACATAAAAAGGATAGATATTTAAAGAAGAAAAATATCTTTACAGTAATTTACATTGATATTTATGAATCAGATGTAAAATATGTTAAATACAAATTTATTCATTCTTGATTTATCTATTACTCACCAGTCTGTTGTTCACGTTGCGTTCTACAGCTACTATCAACAATTTTTACTAATTTTTCAACAGCTTTATATACTAGGGTAGCCAAATTGTTAGGAGATTCTTCACGCAAGGCGCGAATTTCTGCTCCCGGAACCAAAGCGAAAACATCTTGAACGTTCGTCACGCTCTCTGACCAGAATTGATCCCAAAAACCCTCATCTGATGCATCGATAGGCTACAATAAATAAATTCAATTGATAAAAACAGTGGCAGTAGAAAATTAAGCGTAGGTGGAAAATAAAATACCAACTTGAGACTTCGATGTTAGTTGTACTACGGCTTTACGAAAATTTAATTTCGTATCTGCGTTACCCATTTTTTTAATTAATAGTTTTTGAAAACAATAAATTCATATCCAACATACGTCCACATAACAAAATGAAAATGACAATATGACAACTGTCGTTTGTCAGAGGCAGCTAGTTAGTTAAAATAGTTGATGTGAGTGAAAATTTTTAACTTATTTGGAGGAATCTAATTCTTTTTTATAAACAGTTTTTAATTATTTAAGGGCTTAAAATATGAATAAAAATAAACAATGAAATATTTTTATAAATCATAGAAACAATGCTATTATTGATCGCAATTTACGAATAGCGAAGTGGCAGAAAAGAATTTCCCTGACAGTTCAGTTTCTACTGCGGTCTATGGTTTATCTAAAGCGCAAAAATGGCTGCTGCAAGTCTCGTTCGAAGTGCTTTTAATGGATTAGTACGAAAATCCACAACGTATAAAACACCGATAGTATGCAGACTATCCACCGTAGCCCTTCGTCAAAAATTCTATACAGTAAAAGCTTTCGCTAGGACACAAAACATTCTCGACAATAAAAATGGGGTAAGACGTTTTTCTATCATATCTTCCCTATTTCTTATCCACGATACAAGATAATGTGAACATCGACTATCCTGTACTTCGATATCTCCCTAGCGCAGTACGGATGAAAATTATTCGGCTTAAAATATGGTCAATAACATAACCTATTCACGATATTGCATAACGAAGTATAGAGATACAATTGTTTAGGTACAATTTCATCGTAAAGTGCAGTTCGCCACGGGACCCGAGCGTAAGATAACGCAGGAGGAGATCGAGGACCGAGTGATCAAAGTTTGCAGGGCTTACGACAAGCTCGTATCATGTCAGGTACATAACAATTATTTTTTTAATTTTGTTTCAGAATCAGAAAATCAGTGTCCGTAACTACAGCGGTGGTCCTCCGCTAACGCTCGATCTTATTAGAAGTAGGGTTATTCTTGTTCTTCAACTTTATGACAAAATTAACCCTGAAAAGGTAGCTCTTCAACTTTTATAATCATTCAGCTTTTTGGTTTATTAATTTTTGTTGAAGAAGTGTTGAACTAGTTGATTACTATAAAATTAGTCTAAGAATGTTTCAAGATTCATATTATTTGTTATTTTTTCAGCTTTCATTGGAGTCTCATTTTATGACTGACTTGGGTCTGGATTCACTTGACCATGTGGAGGTCATTATGGCAATGGAAGATGAATTTGGGTTTGAAATCCCCGATGGAGATGCGGAGAGGCTGGTTCGACCCAAAGATATTGTCCAATACATTGCCGACAAGGAAGACATCTATCATTGAAGCATTAGTTACTTAATCTCAGTGATCTTAGACCAAATGTACTCCAAATCATTAGTAAATAGACAGTTCCCAACAATTGGTCTAAGATGTTTGCGATTCTTTATGTAGATTGTGATTTAATTCTGTTTCATTTAAGAATGAACAAACATTTTAACATCTGAAGGGGATGTGATTTGTGTAAATTGTTTTTATTGATTACATCATGCTTGTTAGAATAGATGTATTGCTTTTTATTTATAGCAATGTAACCTATTCACCACAATAAAGATTTCAAACAAAAAATTTTGTTTAGACTAGTGTTCTACTATTTTTTTTTAATCTACAATATAATTGTTCATGTTATTATCATTTAAAAATATATTTCTATTTGCTAATTACTTTTAAAGTGACCAATGAAACAGTATAATGTATAATGACATTTTATTTTATACAACTTTTACTGACGAATCTTGACATATAACAGTTTTCATCCAATGAAAAAAAATTGTTTAAGCATATGAAAAACATCAATTTATGTACATACTAAGCTCAATCTTTAAATCTTTCACATTTCCCTACACTCATGCTAGTTTAACAAAATACTTTGAATGTGACAGATATTTACATTATGGTATTTACTATTATAAAGATGTGTTGTGCATCTTCAACTAACAAAATGGTGCACAATATATAACAACTGAAACTATTCACAATCAAAAGAAATATACAAGGAAGGGATCTCGATCCCAAAACAACAAATAAGCCTCCGATAACTAAATGAAATGCTATTTTACATAAATTTTGATCAAATCAAGCCATTACATAAATAATTGGCGATACTATAACTATCTGAAGAAATACATAAAATAAGTTATAATACATTAAATAAATAACATGGAATAATAATACATCTGTTTGAAGTGGGAATCTTAACTGGCATAACATTAAATCTCTTGAATTGTACTACATACATAGGCTGGTTGATATACTATTGCATTACAGGGCTTTGAGGAATCACTAAGTGCTTCGAAACTTAAAATCTAGAAGTTGATTAGCGGTAGGAAAACATTTTATAAAAATGCTTCCAAACACAGATCTGCATCTGGAGGAAGACGAGAGTGTGCAACGTTGGCCAAACACTGGTTTAGTCTGCCCTTTAGGTGGCTAGCCGTTATCTGTAGCGACTACATCTAGGTCTTGCCGCTGACCGTAGCCGCCGCCCTACAGTAGGGTCCACGCGCGCCACACGCACTATGGGCTGCAGGAGTAAGCTTTGCAACGTCTTCTTCCTCTTCTTCGCCTTATCATCTTTATCATCATCGGACATTGAAGAGTTGATATCTTTATCTTTCTCACTGCTGCACTTTGTAGACTTTTCGTTTATCTTATCCTGAACTACCACTTTTAGATCTAACTGTAATTGTTCTTTGACAGGTTCCTTTTCCTCTTGTTCGGCTTCCAACTTGTCGACAATATCTTTTATTTTTTCAGATAGTGTTTTATCTATGTCTTTCTTGGGAGGTTCATGTTGAATCTCGTCTGATTTTAACTTATCTTGTACCAAGGTCTTATCTTTGTCCGTGTCTTCTAATGTTCGATCTTCTTCACTTATTGTATCCTGGGACGTATCATCGTCGGGTGACTCTGCTGAAGACCTCTCCCTGCTACTTCCTTCCTTCGGTTCTTGCTCCACACTGTTTGTTCTCGGGTCTTTCTTTGTCTGTTTTCTCTTACTCGGCCAACCTGTTTTGTTCTTCTTTTTGAATTTCCCCCTTTTTCCTCGCAAACGTCCCGAGCTACCTTGAGAGATTTCTTTCCTAATAATGTCACAACCTTCACACTCTGAAACTAAACTTGACACATCGGGTATGTTTTTGGAAGCGATTACAGATGTCTCATCTCCCATTAATTGGTCATAGATATCGTAATCTGTAGGTTCTTCAAATACTTCAGACAAAAATTGCTGCAGTCGTTCAGAAGCTTCCTGTGTTTCTGATAATACTGACTCGACCTTGGGGTTACTGTGAGTGTCACTGACTGTATCTTCGGATGCTGTTGATTTTGTATCTTCATTATGTTTCCGTCGGTGTAGTAACCCTGCAGACCCTAGTATAGCTAAGGTAGATGCATGTTCCCTGGGTGATTTTCTAGAGTGACCTTCCAGTGCGATGAGGGCTGCTGTCCGTTTCCTTATTTTCTGCTTCTTCATCCCTCTTGTACCATAAGATCGTGAAGGACCAGGTTTTTCTTCCCGTTTGACGAGATCGCTCAGTGGACAACAATTTGGTTTCAATGGTGGTAACTGACTGATTTCATATGGTAACTTTGGTGACTTAGAGTACAATTCTGAAATAAATGGAATTGTTATTAATAAAGTGTTAGAATAATATCATGAGAAACTGATGAATAAAAATAATATACTAACCAAAATACTGTGGCACATTTTTCGTCACTAGTTTGTCCTGATCTTGTCGCTTAAAAGTTTCAAACCAGGGCTCACTCCGAGGAACTGATTCAAATGCAAATTCTAACTGTTCAACAGCTGGTGTATACTTCAGTCTGCCGTCCTCCCACTTTAAACATTTCTCTGAGGGTTCTTCTCTTAAAGGACTAACTTCTGGCTTCGGTGATTCTTCTAATTTTTCTGGAGGACATTCAGGGACTTTCACTGGAGGCTCCACTACAGTAGTTTTTGCCACAGATTTCCGTACCCGTTTAACGACGGTTGGCCCTCGTCTTTTACGTCTCCTCTTATCTTCAGGCCAACTGTCTTCTTCTGAGGACTCTTCTTTAAGAGCAATCGGTCTAGCGAGGCGTTGACGTTCAAGAAGCGGTGGGGGCTGTGGAGGTGTTTTTCTCCTGGATAAAGGAAGCTCTACAGTCTCCTCATCCTCGGAAGACGATGAGCTAGTTGAACTAGCACGTTTGGGAAACATGAACTGCTCTGCTTCATCACTCAACACCGATAACTCTGAACGTCTTACTTTGCGAAACTTAACAACAAGTGGTTTGGCTCCGTTACAAGTTGGTGGAGATTCCTTTTTCTTTACAAATCCACCACTCGAGCGCAGTTTAGTGCTCACACCGACCACCTTATAATACTGACGATCTTCAGAAGTTTGGGAATCGCTCGTCCGCTTACTACATCTGGTGTTATGTTTTCTTTCATCTTCCAAACCTCCATTACGTCTCGGACTAGCGTGACCGTTAAGGTCTGGGGATTGGGAGAGTTTTGATCTCTTTCCTTTTGGTTCTGTATCGCCATTACATATTTTCCGAAGTGATCTTCGCTCTCCATTCACTGGGGTGGCTTTATCTAAGAATGTACTGACATCAGCTCCCGAAGTAATGAGAGAATCTAGTGCCAGGAAGTTTGTGTGGTCTCGGACAAAAGCCAGATGATGTGGGGAACGTCGGTGGAGCGCCGCGTCGATGTAATCAGTGTTACACATCTCACAGTAGCCCCCCTTCTGTTCCTTATCCTCTTTTTCTTTAATGCGAGGCCGACTCTTCCTTGTCATTCTAGAATAAAGAGTTTAATTAATTTAAAATAATATTTAGCAAATAAGAATTATTCATAAAATATTAATATTACTGACTTTGATATGGTGTTGTTATTGGATGGAATTGCGTTTACTTGCTGTTCCGGAGATTCTTTTTTAACTACCTTCTCCTTCGGTGGATCAGGTTCTAATGATATAAGCGGCCATTCATCAAACTCCTTGAAAACTGGCCTCCATAGTCTGTAAAAAAATAAAATAAATATCTATAGAGCATATCCATAGTGTTTTTAAACTTAATTTTTAAAATATATTCCCATACTTGTCCAAAAATTCAATCTTGATAAAATGTTTACTGAAGAGGTTGACATGCGCTTTATGTGGTGCCGTGAAGAATGTGTCATACAGTTTATCCAATAGACTTATAGCCTGAAAGATTAATAAATATGCAATAAGGATATAAAGATATGTTAAGGAAGAAATATTAGTGATTACATACATAATAAATAAAAATAATATCACCAAGCGTCACATGCAATATAATAAGTAGATAGATCTAATGTATGGTATGGTGTTAATATAGTTCGATTAATATTACACATACTTTCTGTACGGTGAGTTGAACGTATGTGTGTGTTGTCCGAGCCCGCAGGCGCTGCAGCATGGCATCGGCGCGGGAGCGACACTCACGCGCGCATCGCGCCTTCTCCGCACACACTACGTGCGTTACACGAGATGTCAGGAACACTTCCTCACGCTGGGACAGGAGAAATAAACTTTAATACAAATATAGAATTATCTTCATCAATATTATTATTAACTTGTTCTAAATTTAAAGAAATTTCCATTAATTAATGCATCTTACTAAGACTTTGCAATCAGTTTGGAATATAAAATAATATACACTTAAATATAAAAATAAATTCTATTTAATAAAATAATATCTATTTATTGTTTACTTATTATTTATTTAATGTAAACTTTGAACAGAAATTCTCTTTTAAAAAATATTACATTTTTCTTGTATAACAATTGCCATAAGAAAATATGAATTCATATTTTTAAATTTATAATTAATGTGGCAACTCTAATTAGAACTGTCACTGTAAACAATTTAAAAATAACACTGGTTCATTATATTATTCTCGGCAAGTTTGATTTGAGAGTCAGCAAATGGAATATGACCTGGGACAGAGTTTTGCAATGACCGTAGCAAAAAATATATAAAACGCTGACGATGTGTATAGTTGTACATGTGTTTCGTCGAACACGGATTTCTGCTAGTGTGAGAACTAACGCGTGTCATTGGTATTACGTACGTAAAGCTACCGTTCTAATTTTCTTTGAAATACAGTCGGCAATTTGACGCCGGCGGAACAAGCCCGCGCCCTACGTAGAATCGCGCCAACCGTCCCGCGCAAAAAAATAACACCCCGGTACATTCAAACCAATATCATCCCTAATATACGTTTCTTAAGAATGACATCTCCGTGACGCTACTTAGGAAATATCAACTGTCAAAAATTAAGCATACACACGCGTAGGCTAAAGAAAACTACATTTCAAACTGCTTTTAAATGGATGTAGTGCAACGCAGCTTGATAGAGCGCGGCGCGCGGCCTCGGCATCATGCATTTTGCGTTGAGACGGCGGCTCTAACGCAGGCACACAAAAGATGACCTAAAATCGAAGGAAGCTACGCGCCTAACAGGCCAATTCGACAACACTTTTAAACTGTTTTCTACACAATTCTGACTTGATCAATGTATCTACCTGCACGTAAAACTGTCGGGCAGAGTATATACTCACACAAAAGCCGTCCGCGAGGACCACGCACGGCGCTTATCACAAAAATAAGTAACTATATACTAGTCACAGAGACGGGCACTTCGTCACTATTACAATTCCGTCGAAACACAACTAACACTTAATATTTTAAATATACTAAATATGCACCACATTTACAATAGTTTTATACAAAGAATAATATACTTTTTACAGTTATTCCTACTAATTAACTAAATAAAATCGAAATAGCAACAACAAACACAAATCTGTCATACAAGATGGAGATATTAAGCTTTAGTTTGTGTTTCGCACGCTAGCGGCGCCACTGCGGCGTGGAAGGGGGATGGCCTCCCATTGGACGTTACGATTATTACATTCCTTTTCACTGTTTTTTGGAACTTTCAGTATTTTATGATACTTGTGTTATTTATTCAACGGTCGAAATATTAAGAAAGTGGGCGATTGCATTCAGTTATGTTACTAATAATAATATTATTTAAATATGTCTGGCTTAATCGTTATGCGTTGCATACACATGTACAAACTTACGAAAAACAAGGAATGGAACGTTTATAATACGACTATGTTACAAATGAACGTTAGCAATTCGATATTCATTGGTATAAATAGTGTTGAGAATTTGGCTCCATTATTGTTATACATAACCACAAAGCTAAGTTAAAACATTTTACTAATAATGTTACGAGTGGAAAAGTTTTGGCGGCAAAAATATAACTTTACTCACCAAACCCATGTCTTGTAATCTCCGCGATATTGACCGAGACAATGTAGGATTTTGAATATCCAAGTAAAAGCAGAAATTTTTTCTAACTGAAAAATAAAAGCATCGTTAATATCTCCGAAATTGACAAATAGCGATCGTATTGATCTGCGTCATACTTTTGTTATATTTATCTTGCAGTTGCGAATTCGGGACCATCGTGTACTGTTACATATCACAAAAAAAAACAATGTATTTATCCTCCTCCAATTGACACTAGTTGGCACACGAGTTGAATTTAAACGATGATAACATTGTTTGCAATTACATAAGCACGATACAAACTTAGATAATTATTATATATCACATTTCAACACCAAATTTAATTTAATTTACGTTTTGACTCTATAAAAGACGAAATGTCACTGACAGCTGAGACCAATAGACAAAATACGTTTATCAATGATCTATGGTTTAAATCGATGTGGCGATCAATATGTCTGATTTTTAGTAATTTTCTTAATTAATTTTAATTTGTCTATGGTTATTTCCTCTTTCAAGTGCGTTTCAGTTTATAATGCCTAAAAAGAATTTGATTCAAATGTAATTAATAATGATAATATATTAACAAAATATCCGCTCCATACCTTTCCTTGCTCCCGAACGGTTTATGTCCGACAGCTTATGTACGAGAGTATTGACGGACTGTAACTACGTAATATATATGTGCATATTTTATTGATTTCTCAATGTCCGATGTTCACGTTTGTGTGCATTGGAATAGGTGAACGGGAAGTTTAATATACGAGCGTAAAACGATGAATTTACTTTACAATTTATTTCATACCAAACATATGTAATGTCGACCTAATATTACTTCACATTAGTTGAATATACTTCTTTAACAACTAAAATAAAAAAGTATTGTAAGATATTTGTAACTTTTCTTGTATATTTCAAATGTTGTTATCAAACGATTTGATAAGATTAGTCAAACTGAAAAGAAATTTTCCAAAGTTTACTAATAGATTCTGCAATGTTAACCATTAACAATATAATGATTGTTAGTTTAAAATATTCAAATGTAACTGAAAGGTTCTTCAATATGTGATTATGTAAACTATTTGAAGGACAGGTTGAGGTGTATATCGTGACTGATGTGTCGTGCCAAGTCAGTAATCGATAATTCTGTGCTAGCATCACTCGTTTATCTTTGCTCCGCGGTTTATTTACATTGTGCTAGATGGCGCCTTCTGTCTTGATAACAAAGCGACCTTTCGAAATCATAGGTGGCGGTTAGCATAGGATGAGGATATTTTTAAATGAATTATCCATATCCACTTTGTTACTATAATATTATATGCTTATTATTTCCACCAAAAAATCTTCTATAGAATTAAGATATACGTGAAATAATAATTGATAATATTTAACAAGCGAGTCATATAATGTTAGCTTAAAACTGTTGTACTCATTTATGAGTTATGACAAATAATTACGTATGGTGGTAACCGGAGGTTTCAGGAAAATTAAGAAACTTGCTTATGTATATTATGCTAAGAATTAAATATTAAAACTTATAACCTACACCTAAGACTACGTGCCCCAATGTTAGTATAGCAATCCCATTCCATAGCTTGTGTGTATCAGGAATCTTCTGGTTCACACGGCTTGGTGTTCGTTCCGCGGAGTCAGCAGCGCCACTCGTTATATGATATTTTATACATACAACGATGTTGCCCCGGCGACGTTCACATTTTAATTTTTAATATGTAACGCGTACGTAACAAAATACTTAAACAGCCACGAATATACAGGGTGACTGGTGAATTACTATCGATATTTGAGGACGTGATATTTGACGATCATATATGACAAAATAAAAATTAATATAACATAAATATTAATAAACTTCTAAGTAAAGTTAACCAAAAGTTATGTAATTAATTACGCATCGTGTGAACACCCTACAGATTAGGTATACACACACACACACACGCGTGTGCTGATACAACACCACGCCGCCGCACGCGTTCACACTTGGAACACTACGAACGTGTCCACATTTTATTTATTTATACGGAAATTTGGTCAAAAATTAAGTACCTATTTTTTTTACATAATTCGAATGAGAATCATGTACCGAGTATTCTCCTTAAATATTGATAGTAATTCACCAGTCACCCTGTATAAAGACAAACGCGGGTCTATCAATCTATTTTTTATGTTAATACTTCAGTTATAACTTACTATAAAGCATTCTATTTAGGCTCAGCTTCCCCATTACCTAGTATTACCAAAAAGATTTTTTGTCGTACTTTACTTATTGTTTTTTTTTAATATTCATTCTGAAATATTTTTTCGTCTCGCAGGTGTTGCCTGAAATATACCAATATATTTTGTTATATTAGTAATTAAAAAATTAGAACACCAATAACTAGTGTTATAACATTTATTTAATATTTTGAAGTAGAAGTTTTAAGATCAATCCCCTTATTAAAACAGTTCCTACAGTGTTATTTTTCATTTGGAGTTAGTCAATAGAAGAAGACGGAGTGAGTTAGCAAGTCAAATCTCGGTTGAAAGACCTACGCTAGAACTAATTATTTTCACAAACTTGTCCACACTGTCGAGGTTTTCATCTACAAAAATATTAATTATTCTTAATAAACGTAACACAACATAAACAATACGGTATCTACCTATCATGAAAGTTTTATAGGGACAAGAACTTGTGTGAATTTAATAGGGTTCGATTTTAGACCTTTTCTACCCACAAAATAAGTTTTCGTTTTTGAAGAACCCTTCGAAATCGTTACCGACCACTTTGAAAATCCTTGATTAAGAGAAATACGAAAAATATATATAGTCCGTTAGATTTAAGCTGAGCTTTGCATTTGTGTGAGTGAAAGTAAAAGTAGAGATAGACACAAAACTTTTAGAATTAAATTTTATTATATTTTAAATAGATACATAACATAACAGACCAGTGCTGATAGCTTTTAAAACATAATTAAATTATAGTAGAATGAAACTCATTACAAAAGAGGATAATATTATATAAAAAAAATCCGTAGAACTTTTTGTTTTCAATATTTCAATTTATTTTTTCTGTAAGACTTTTTGTTTCAAATCGAAAAAACCCATTTTTTACCCTTAAATACCCATCCCCATACCCTTCCCGACCTCAGATCGTTCGTAAATTATTTTTCCTTTAATTTTTATAATATTTCTCTCATTTTCTAATGAGTTTCATTCTACTATAATTTATTATCACTTTTCATTAATTTTAAAGGCTTTAGCACTAGCCTATAAGTGCAAGAGCTATTCTAGATTAAAAATAAAATAAGCAAAACTTGTAAAAAGCCAGATGGAAATATTATAGACCGAATTAATTAATTAATAAAAAATTTGAAAAAACTATACAAATTAGTTTTCACTTGACATTGCATTGCTACCAGTACAAAGGGTGAAGACCGGAAAGTGCGGGGCGGAGTAAAAGCAGAATAAACCGGTTTAAACCTGGAAAGGAACGTGGTATTCAAAAATTTGACATCACACCTAAACTATCCGTGTGCACTCATACAAATGCAAAGCTCAGCTTAAATCAAACGCACAATATATTTTTTCTTTTTTTTCATTTATTGATAATCCAACAGCGTGACACTAATTTTAGAATAGTAACAATATAGCTATAAACAAGGCCAATTAAGGATTACATTAATTTACAGTTCTATAGTTACACTCGAGCATAGAATTAAGGATAAAAAGAAAACTACACTATACTAATATTATGAATAAATAAATTCCTTGGTTATATTTTTTCTTCTTCTACCTTGCAATTTTCCAGCTTTAGCCAGGGTCTGCCTTACATGTTGTGAATAGTTTTGGCTAATTGTTTTACGACCGGCCGCCTGCCTGACGTCAACCCTCTTTGGGAATGCATTAATCAGTGATGTCTAAATACTCTTATAAAGTACATATGACTCGGAAAAATCACATTGGTACTTGCCAGGGCCAGAATCGAACCTGCGTCCTCGTGCATGAGAGGCGGGCCTCGTGACCACTAGGCCACCACTGACTACATTTTTGATCACTGGTTATATTTTTTATCACTATTAATTTGTATATTCTAAAATGAAGATATTTCTTTTGTAACATTAATTAAGTCGTTCAAATTATCTTTTATACCGGTGGTAGATATTACCGACCACTATTATTCAACATATGGCGTTATCCTCGATGGCTGCAAATAATAATTGAACAAATGACAATCACGATCCACGTCTCTTGGGCCCATTACACTGGGCTTTCAATATTTATTACTTTACTATTACAACATTCAACGACTATTATTTGTGGATAAATTTCTTTCTTTAGTTGTTCTTTATCATAATACAAAAAAAACATCTACAAGGTATCAAAATTATATTTGGTTACACAGTAATTTTTGATGGTCCATACATATGTAAAAAAATTTTCTGTAGCCGGATTTCGGACTATGATTATAGATATTGGTTTTAAAAAACGGATTTTTTGTCAAAACTTGTTTGATGTAGAAAGGGAATGTTCAGAACCAAAGAATGGTCATTACTTATAATTATTCAATAAATGGAAAGTGGAAACACATAATTCTTATTGTTGTACGATTAGTATGTACGGTTTTCAGACATTTATTGTTGATTATTTACCAAAAAAAAAAGTTTCCAAAGCGATTGTAAATCCATTGAATGAGAGAGATATTTTTCAAGAATATGTACTTAGCTGTTTAAGGGTCATTTTGTATAAAAAGTTTATAAGTATTCGGAGATATTTGATTAATTAGGAACTAATCATGTAAGGCAGTCAAAAGGTAAAATAAAATACAAAAACCCACTTAGAATACGCTTATATTTAAGAATTAAATTAACAATAATAAATTTACATATAACATATAGCCATTTTGTAAAAATTCCTTTATAATTATTATCATATTATTTATAAATATATCAATACGACGCGAAACAAGTTGAGATAATCAGTTGAGATATAAAAAATATACAAGCGCGGAGTCACCGAGACGTATAGAGCGGTAGGAGCTACAAGCCTACGACACTCGTCACTAATATAATAAGATACACTTATTATTACACATCAGACAGAATATAAAATGTCTTTGGTATCAACGATCCCGCTGTATCAAAACAAAAGGTATTACATACCAACAGTTAAAAAAATATTAAATTTATATACATATGTATATATTTTTCAAAAATGTATCGTAGAAAAACCTAAGAATATAAACGAAAAAATTCTAAAAGTAACCCCGCGCGTTTTACAGGTGACAGTGAAATTTGATTTCATCAAATTCGCGCGCTGTCATGAGTGACAGTCCAAGCTAGCATCAGTCTCATGTCATAGACCCTCACTAAGTAGACACATTCCAATAAATCATAGACAATTAGAAAAATTGGTCATTAAAAACTAATTATAGAATGCTTGTCTATGGTTGGTTCACACTGTCGTAGCTCTTGTTGTCGCCGTTCAGGATCGGCGGGACGGTCTGTTTGATAGGCGGCGCCGGGATCACCTGTGGTTGTACATTGATTCATTAGTTTATTATAAAAAAAAGGTTTTAACTATATGTACTTATTTCTATACAATTTGGCTGAAAACACGATTATTTTTGTTATATCGTTAAAATCAGATAATATAGCTAAATATTATGTTTAAGATAGTAGTTTTGGATGTATAACTAATTGAATTTTTTTTATTTTTTTGTTCAGCATTAATTTCGATTTATGAATTTTTCAGAAAATTTCTAGTTTTTAAATGAATAATTACAATTCTATACAAATATAATTTAAGAAACATTTTTCTTAAAATGTAAAGAGGAATTAAATATTTTGAAATACTGGCAATACTACAGTATAATATTATAAACATGTAATACATCAGGAACAAACAAAAAGTCGTCTCAAAATTCTATCATGCATATAGACTGGACAATTCTGAGTTGAATATGTGAAGACAATACATAAAAATATGCATCATTTAAACACAAACACACACGTGAAAATCTAGATTTGATCTAAACTGGACCAGATTTCATAAAAATATTATAGATTAAATTTTATATACTGTTTAATGCACTCATATGATGGTGATTATTCACAAAACATAATTAAAAACTTGAACTTTCCCTAACAATATTAATAATATTACATATCGTTTATAAGTTCAAAACATCTTGGTCCGATTCCAAGTTTATCTATATATAACTCAAGAGAGCTAATTAAAAACAAGCAGAGAATAAAAATAAAAATTTCGCCCATCACCCGCCAAAAAAATAAAATCAAAATTGACTTAACTTCAACGACCCAGTTCTTCGATTGATCATTATATCTTATTATATATATTTTTTGTCAACATGTTGCAGAGAGACATAAAATAAACATATAAACAAATACACATATGTAACATGTTATATATGATCTGGTTATTGGACAGTATGTTTACATATAGACACTTACAGGTACATAAATAATTTTAACGCCATTTACGCTGAAAAATAAACTTATATAAATACATATAGATATATAAAAATGTATATGTAAGAAGAATTATATGTATATAATACGGTAAATATATAAGATATGTATATAATAATAGTAAATAGCAACATGATGACAAAATGTAATGTTTCATGTCATACATTCATATCTTTTGGTTCCCCGTCCTCGGTATCCTGTTAGGAACAAGTAGAATATTGAAAAGAATCACAAGCTGATGAAGCAAATATTATTAAGCCTTATTGATGGCAACACAGACGCCATTGTGTTATTAAAGCGAGTGCAGATCATTGTTTTAACTGAGATTAACAGAAAGGTTATGTGTATAATGTTGTATATGTGCATGTGTGAGTAATGTGAATATCTGTGTGTGTGTGTGTGTGTGTGTGTGTGTGTGTATACATACAGCAGGTTTGGGCCTGTGTGTGTCGACCGCGTCTACGGACAGCTTGATGTGTTCCTCACGACAACCGTAGGCCACAGGAGTCAACTTGATGACTGTGTGCAGGGGAACATGCAAGTATGGCAGCTCGTCTGAAACATTATTGTATGAATAATAAGTATTGTGAATATATTATTAAGTTGTTATGTAATTACATACATTATAGGCAAAGAGAGTTTTAATTTTGAATTATTTCTGAACTTTATAAATATACATATGCTATGTATTCTAAAATATTCCAACCATAACAAAACATGGGCTTTACCTACTGAATATTGAGTTCATTACCACAATTTAAATAATCATACATATGCAGTCAAGAATGAGTTATGTCATCAGCCTATCAGAGCCCACTGCTGAAAGGTCTCTTCTCTCACGGAGAAGGTTTGAGTATTAATCAAAACACTTGCTCAAGATGTGTCGGTGATTGTTAAATTATAAGTAAAGGTTTCCTCACAATGTTTTCCTTCAGTTTGTCAGTGGTGTCTAAATACTCTTAGAAAGTACATATGACTCGGAAAAATCACATTGGCGCTTGCCAGGTTCGAACAGAAACGAGAGGCGGGCCTTTAACTAGGCCACCGCTGACTAGAGTAAGTTATAGTAAATGAAACTAATATTTTCGGATTTTACTTCGCGTTTTATTTTTAATTAGAAACTACATACTCCCGAAACGTCGGGAGTATGTAGTAACATCCGAAAATATTAGTTTCATTTAAATGAGTACTCGCGAAAATCTTAGATCTAATTAAGTTATAGTAAGTATTATTATAACTAACCGGCTGATTTATCCAGGAAGTATGCCAGCAGGCACCTCATGACAGCCTGGTGAGATACCACTAGTACGTTCCCCTGTCTTTCAAGCTCCATAATGACGGGTTCCAAGCGCGCCACAAGGTCTTCATAGCTCTCTCCTCGCGGGTAGCGGTACGCGAACTTGTTGGCGTCACGAGCGTTGAAGTCATTGGGATACTTCTGTTGTATCTCCGCGTATGTCATCTCTTCACAGATGCCCTGGTGAGAAATTAAAATGTTTCAAAGAGGGTACCATTTAAAACCAGCATTAGGAGTCCACGCCTATTAATTGCTGAATGGTATACCTATTTGGGACACGTCATGTACATATGTATATTGTAATAGCATTATTTTTTTCTTTCTTTTATTTTTTTTTATTTAATAGTTATAAGTTGTCTTTTTGGTTTGTTTCTTTTTGTTTTTGTGTTATTTCTTATTTTTGAAAAAACTGATATTTCATCCTTTTTGTATGGTGCCAAATAAAACTGTTCTTTCTCTCTTTTCTTTCAATGACAGTATTCATTGCTAGTGTACTCATTGAGAAGAAATATTTATGTCATACGAGAACATTTGCACCATATGAGTATATTTTAATATAAAGTTCTTTATTAGGATATGAAAATTAACTTCTAGGTTAGTTACATTGGTAATAGTTTTGTGGCATCATCAAGAGTGCTTTAATAAAAAAAAAGACGTCTATGCATAATAAAAACGCTAATAAATTAAAATAAGAGCTTTAACGGTAATTTTAATTTAACTGCACTAAGTATATTTTCATGGTCTATATATTATATTTTAAATAAGTTATAAAGATTTAACAGCACACACTATACCATAACTACTTAATAGATGAGAGATTCATCACAAAAATAGGACTTGAACATTTAAGTGTTAACCTCAGTCTTGACGTTCAAAGTTTGTTCTATGAAGTAACCGGTTCCATAGTTTATTTTTATTTGTGGATGCGTGTGTGTGTGTGTGTGTGTGTGTGTGTGTGTGTGTGTGTGTGTGTGTGTGTGTGTGTGTGTGTGTGTGTAGTGACACTCACAGCGTCTATCTCATTAAGCGCCTTCCACCTCTCTTGAGGAGCTCGTACGTCCCTCACAGTCTGTATGGCCCTCTGCATCCACGAGGTCCACACTCTAAGGCCGGCTATGCTCTGCTGGTCGATGTATGTGGCAAGCGCGCCCGCGTACTGACAGCCGCGGGGAGACAGAGAACTGTCACCACCGATACGACCTTCTAGGTTGTGGAGACTCTCGCCGTGCTGGAATGTGGAGAGAGGATATTAGGCAAGATACAAAATGATTATATGTAGTGTAAAAGTGGTTACGATGAGAGAATATACATACAATGATGGTTATATGAATGGACTATGGTTACTCTTTGGCTGTTCTGAACGGAACTAATTCAAACAAAAAAGGACTATGGTTATATGTAGTGTGAAAGTTGTTTAGATAGGCGAGATATACAATGATGGTTATATGGATGTTCGATAGTTATATGTAGTGTAACAGTTGTTTCGGTCAGAGAATATTAGGCGAGATACAGATCATTACTAATATTATAAATGCGAAAGTAACTGCGAAAGCAAGTTGATGATAATATGAATGGACTATGGTTACTATTTGGCTGTTCTAAACGGTACTAATTCAAACAAAAAAAGGACTATTGTTATATGTAGTTTAAAGTTATTTCAGTGAGAGATATTGTCATGTAAGTTAGTATGAGAGAATATAAGTACAAATTTAAAGGTCGATCGAAGGTTTATGGAAGGAAGTATCTATATAAGAATAAGCAACGTACCCTGGTCAAGTAAATAGTCCTGGGCACGATGTGTATGTTCATCAGATAATAAACGATCCGGCTCTGTATGTGTCCCTCGTGTTTATGCACCACGACCTTCTCCCCGGTGTCGTATATCTTCATGAAGCTACATTCAGACTCCAATGACTCGTCTAGAGGCTCGTACTTCTCTTTATAATGTTCTATTCTCAGTAGGAAGTCGTTGAGGACGTTGTCTGTATTCTGGATATTCGTATAATCTGGACTGCTCACTTTCACCTCCTGGAATGTTAAAAATGTTGGTTATTTGTTAATGAACTATGATTAGAGCTAACTTCTTTTGGAGTGTAGACACAGATATAGCATACACGCCTTGACAAAATCTACCTGAAAATACAAAACATTTATTATATGACATTGTTTGATACTATGAAAACTATTATTATAACTCCTTAACTTAAAAAAAAACACAATTTTTACAACTATATTTAAATTAATGAGTCCTAAGCTTTTCGCGAGTTTTATTCATTTAAATGAAACGAATATTTTTTGACTTTATTTTCCACATCTCGTCTGCCCGTGATCACGGTTGCTGAAAAGTAGCCGAAACGTTGGGAGTATGTAGTTTTTAACAAAAATAAAGTATAATATTAGTTTCATTTAGATATATTCTTAAAATTACTTTTATTTGTGAAAGTAAATAGAACTTTTCGTTAATTTTATCTTGATGAATGGATAATGGGGACGATAGTGGAATGCGAATAGTAGACAAAATAGGTTTTAAATTTAAATTTGAGTACTGGAGTACTGAACTGATAATAATTACAATAATTCATATGTTAGAAGAATGTTAAAAGATGAATGCAATATTTATGTGAATCACTGATCAAAACAGACAAATATTGAGAAGAACTTGCTGTAGTGAGTAAGTATGGAAATGGTACAAGCTAATCTGTAACATTTGTATCGTCACTCATATACTCACTCAAGTGTTTCGATTCAAAACGACTTCTTTTCAAATATATCCCCTAATCTACTACTGGCTGTAATGCGACATGCGATAGATGAACGAAATAAAATTTAGGTTTGTAATAAAATTTATATGAAAAATAGATATACACAAGTGCAATTTCCGTTTTAAATTTAGACACGTTTGCTCTTCGGTACAAATAAAGTTTGTTATTTTATATTTGTATTAAGTACTTAATTATAAGGAGAGGAAAGTTAAAAAAATCACATTTTTATACTAAAATAATAAGAAAACTGTGCGGGGATTTTCGTCCTATCTGAATTGTGATACGAACTAGGCCATTTACTATGCCCGTCATATAAATACATCCGATAAAGCAAAATCAAACACCCACTATGAAAATCATGTACTTAAGAGATTACCGGTCATTGTAAACGGTACTAGGACAGAAATATACATTGAGGCCACTCTGTGATTTGGTGTCCTTAAGATGCTGTTTGTTTTATTAAAAAAAATCTTCATACTTTTTTTGAAATGCTAATTGTAAAGATTGATAAACAAAAAATGAAAACTCCGTGAATTTGAGAAAAATAAGAAACATTTGATTTTGATGGTCACGAAACTGAGATTTTCGGATAAAACGCGTTATTTTATAATTTTTAAAAACTGCATACTCCAAAGGTTCCGTTATTTTGCAGCAACCGTGAACATGGGCAGACGAGATGTAATAGTTTAAAAAATATGAAATACGCTTAGTAAGCCGAAAATATTAATTTCATTGAAATGAATTCTCCTGAAAGTCTTAAATCTCATTATTAGGAACATTTTAATAGATATCAATGGGTGATGATGGACGTACCATAATATTCTGTTCTATGATCCGAGGGTCGTCGCAGATAGACTCCACGAAGAACAGCTTGAAGCCCATCTTGTGAACGACGATGTCTCTGATCATACGACGTCGTTCCATGGTCGAGTTAGTCGCGTCAAACACCTAGGCACACAACCATCAAAAATTACACTCATTGTGACATAATGTACTTCCTTATTACTGATTTCTTTCTGTAGTATGAAACGGTTTATATATATTATGCTAAAGAGGGCAACTGAGCAGACGGCCTACCTACAGATGTAGTACCGTCAAAAATGGACATACGTTACGTAAATTTGCGGTTGTGTTGCCACCATTGATTAGGGAATAGGGGGAGGAAGAATTGGGAAAGGGTAGGAAAAGGGCAACCGGCTATCTCACTCATCGGACAAAACGCAGCCATAAAAGACTACTTCACGCCGATCTTCTGTGAGAGTGTGGTACTTCCTCGGTCGAGCCAGCCCATTTTCGAGTTGCAGTAACTTGACCACAGCTAGACTTTACCACTCTTAATATATATAGAAAAATACGAAACTGATTTTTATATATTTTGCTGGGATATAATGACACAATTTTCAGGTGGTGTTTTTTTTGTGTTGTGTGATAATACTCACGGCCACCTCCCCGCCCTTGACCAGCCACTCGCAGACGTCGTGCAGGGCGTCCAGCGCACACTGCTGTCTGATGGCCATAGCTTCTTTGTTATCAGCTCGGAAGAACTCGTGGCTCGTGTAGGCGGTGGTCGCGTGACGCCTATACTCGCCCAGGTTGAACACTGTGGGAGATATGATAATAGTTTGCTGAAAAGTAACCGAAACGACGGGAGTATGTAGTTTCTAATCGATATCATAATATGTTGAGGAATTGGAGTGATTTATAAAGATGGAGGAAAATGAAATTTATTAATTATTTTTGTAAAATTGTTCAGTATAGTCGAGGCATCTGCAAAGAGTTACTATTTATTATGAGCTGCGTGAAATACTTTAGTAGATTATACAATTTAGTTTCAAAAAACTATACCTAAGCTGAGTGTGATATACCTACCTAAAATAGGTATTGCGATGCATATTAGTAGTAAAGTTTTTTTTGCATATTATATCTATAATAATTCTACCCACCCCTGGTGTTAATGCCTATCCAGTTGAGATATCGGGACAGCTTCTTGGAGATGTAGGTCTTCCCGCGCGCCGGCAGACCCACCATAGCGATCACGTGTGGAATGTTCACATAGTTGGCTCGTTCACCTAAACATCATAAAATGAATAAGCAATCAAATATATAAAACCTCATTGATATAAAAATATATTTTATTTCTCCTAAAAAAAAGTGTTAGAGATTAAGATATGCATTATCATAAATAAACAGGTACTCAAAGCAAAATGTAGAAATTTTTGTAACAGATATTTTCTTTTAGAGGAAGTTCTGACCAATCTTAACATTTAATTTGAATTAAAAGATCACCAACTAAAATATCAACGTATACTTTAATTTACTTTCATATTATTATCCCCTATGAAATTGTAACGACTCTTTAAAGCAACTAAGACCATTTAAAAACAAGAAGTTAAAATGTATTTAAAACAACACAATAACATCCACAAAGAAATAATTGTATTATTGCTACCAATATAAAAGAAATCACTTGCACCTAGACTTATTGTATTGGACAATAATTGTGAATAATTTTATTTTAACCTATATGCATTAAAAACTTATCTGTAACAATATAAAATCTAAGAATTGAGTTTTGTCTGTATATATTGTTACACTAGTTCACTACTATTGAAGGGCTGAATTTCATAATTATTATTTTAATAATTGATATTTTATTATATTAATGTCCTATCAAAGGGTCTTAGACAAATTGGATGAAAATTTATATGAATGATAAAATATATTTCAAAGGGAATTTATATGCAAGTGAGGTCACAGGAAACAGCTACTTAAATATTAAGACATCAAACAATAGAGAACAAAATTAATAGTGTATGAGATCACTAGGTGTAATGTAACGTTTTTCAGCATAAAACATTTTATATACACAAACATTCCATATATCCAGTTATACTAAAACCTTTATTTATCTGGTTTTTGATTATTTCATAATTTCACATAAAATTCCTATTCATTACTACTATTGAATGAAATTAAAAAAAAACACATTTACAAACTTTAATTTTATAGCTGCTGTCAAAATAAAGCCAGTGAAAAATTAACATAATTTGTAAGTTTTATAATTAAGTTCAATGTTATCCGATGTTAATATTAAACAATCAATAATGTAACATTAAAAAATATTCAATTTTTGAAGTACTTTATACCTGTTTCATATATCACTCAGTTATACACAAACAACATACAGTATATCTATACTAATATTATAAAGCTGAAGAGTTTGTTTGTTTGTTTGAAAGCGCTAATCTCCGAAACTACGGGTTCGAATTGAAAAATTCTTTTTGTGTTGGATAGTCCAGTTATCGAGGAAGGCTGTAGGCTATATAACATCACGCTACGACCAATAGGAGCAAAGATATAGTGGTAAATGTGTAAAAAACGGGAGAAATTATTTCATATTAGAAGCCTTCCGTTGCGTGCGCCGTCAAAACGGTTCAAGATACAGAAAAAATATGTATTAAAGAATAATAGCTCTTTTAATGATCTAAAAAACAGTCCAGGACAGTATATTGCTATCTTTTAAGATTAACTCACAAAAATCGTTTTTATGGTACCTAATTTGGTCGAAATAATTTGTTTAAGTTGTATCAACATAATAATATTAATCTTTATTCAAATAAACAAATGAATATGTTGTTGGTTAAGAGTACTTCATTGTGAATAAAAAAAAACATAGGTTTTATCCTGAAAATTCTACGGGAACTCGACCATTCCGAAAACCCCGCAAGAACGGGAACTATGTGGGAAGAACCAAAAATCTGCCGGAAGTCACTATTCCACGCGGACGGAGTCGCGGCAAAAGCTAGTAATTATATACATGTTATATAAAGAATTGACGGAGTAAACAATATAACGAATTAGCATACAAGTTAAAAGACATGTTCAGTTAATATGATTCGATATTGCAGTGTTTTTCAATCAGTGGCTCACGATGTCTTTCTCGCAGGGTCACTGGCAAAAAGAAAAAGGTAAAGTTCTACACTACAATAAAAACCAAATTTTAATGTGAAGTATTTGCTTGGTTATATTTCAAAAGCATGTCAAATCGGGGTGCTATTTTTGTAATATCTATCAAATCAACTTTTAATTGAAGTGTATTTCTACTTTTTGTTTTGATTTTCACCATTGCAGAGAATGTCTTTAACTTTGCCTTTTAATTTAAGAATTTCCTTGCTTGTCTATGGCACTAGGGGGTTACCAAAAATTTGCAACCCGTAAAGGGTCACAATATCAAAAAGATTGAAGATCACTAAGATATTGGAATGAGATAAAACTAAGACTTTTTTTATTAAAGGTGTTATAAAATTCTAGAAGATATGTTATACCTAAATAGTATTTCTTAATTAATATAACAATAGTCACATGCTATAAAAGTGTTTATCAATTCCATATAGTTTATATTGTTTACTTTTTAATGATAATGTGGTATGTCTGTTGACATTTAATTTTGTAGCTGACCTTACACTTAGAATATTAATATTCTGTTATAACTGCGCTAGTAACCTTGTTTTTAATTCAATTTAATAAGTATTTTATTTATATTTAGATCAAACATAGAGAAAATTATTTTAAATTCTTTTAATTTACTATTATGTAATATATAAAGCAATTTTTTATGCAAATTCAGCATATGATTTACAAAGACTCTAGTTTTGGTGTTAAATTAAAATATACTTAAATCATGATATTTTTTAATAATTCATTTACATGTTCTTTTTATAATATATATCATATAAGAATAAAGTTATCATGACTTTGAGAGTATATGCAGATTGAAAATTAATAGCATTATAATCATTTAATAAAAGGTAATGTAGCTAGATAAGGTCCAGCGGCTGTCTGTAATGATCTGCACATGATTGATTAACGCTGTATCAGAAAACCAATTAAAGATACGTGAAAACATGATGACGACAGAATAAGTTTAACACTGTTATAAAACACTACAATTGTTACAGCAAATGATGATATGATCCACCCTTCTATTGATTTTAAGCTTGTGCCGAATGATATAAAGATAAAAGTATAAAAAATAACAATTTCTGACTCGTACGCCGAGATTAAATTTTGTACTAACCATCGCCGAAAAACTGTTTGTTTAAATACTTCCAACCTTCAGCGCGGTTGTCTTCTGGGTCCATTTCGATGGATTAAAACACACACGTGTAACTATCTATTAAACTGGTTCTAATATATATATTAACGGGGTCCACTACCGTTTGTGCGGAATCAGAATTCGCAACTAGTCAGTAGTTTCTGACTTACTGAGGTCTGTCCGACTGTCAACTGAATCTATACTGTGTCATGTATGACAGTGACGTTTCACTGAACGAAATATCAAGAACGGTTCTACCATTCGCCGAATATGCTTTTCACATTCGCACTGATTATGGCGTTTATTAAAATATGATTGAAAATCGGATGCTCGAAGTAAAATTTTGTATTTTGATTTTAGTTTAATTTATAATAAACAATCTTTTGAGTATTACATTGTTTAACAAAGTGTTTAACAAACAGCAATTATAATTTTTTTCACCAGAGATAAAAATATACATTTAACTTTTCTGAAATCTTTTGTACAGGTTTCTAATGCAAGGATTAAGGATAAATTAGAACATATTTCGAGTTCAACGGGTTCCATATATATTTATTATATTATAATTGTTGATTTTATGACTGTACCTATTACTATGCCGAATTTTAGAAAACATATACATACTACGATCTTTGACCGAAATCAAGCTGAAAATAAATATAGATAACCTCTAGGTGCATGTTTTGTTATCTAACATATTTTATCATAATAATCACCTATGAATATGGATTTATTAGTAATCGTATAAACATGACATGATGCTTTCTATCTCAAATGGAAAATATTTAATGCAAAACAAACATAAAGAAACAAAATTTAACCATTCGTTCAGAATTAATTTGTAAATGAGACGTGTAGCGAATTATAGTAGCATTTGAGAAAATCTTAATGACTAAATATTATCTTTGAGACGATTTCTTATCAAGGCGAACCTTAATCTTATTAACATAGTGAAACGATTAGGAAGTTAATTTAAATTCAATAATTTTATTTCCAAACAATTGCCAGTTTATAGTGAAGTTTTAAACATGTTTATATCGTATATTGGAAATATTCCCGAGCGGGACACGTGGTCTTCCCTGTTTGGCAGCTTCGTAGTTTGGCTAAGTTATTTGGCTCGGATATATTCTATCATACTTTATAGATAGTCTGTGTATTGACACACCCATTTTTTTAATACATGATAATGTTAAACGCATTCGTATCAGATTATATATAAGTAAATAAGGAACTAATAATGCACATATATAATAACTAGCTTTACGCCCGCGGCTTCGCCTTCGCTTCGCGGCTTTTCTCAAGGTCAACTCTATCTCTGTACCAAATTTAATTAAAATCAGTTCAATGGTTTAGGCGTGAAAGCGTAACAGACAGACAGAGTTACTTTTGCATTTATAATATTAGTAAGCATTTTTTTATTCTGTATATTTGTTCTTTATAATACATTTTTGAACTGATACAAGGAAGTCATTTATTTGTTTTTTTTTACACTAAAGTATGATAGAGCAAATTAAACAACTGATAAAGCTTATAAAAATATACTACTACTCTTTTATATATATTTTTCTTTGACTTCAACGACAAATTTTCAAAAATAATATATTTAAATTATCAGTAATGCATTTTATACATAAGTTTATTATAGTTTCATCAATTCATTTCCTGTAACATTATCCGAACCAGTCAGCTGTGTTCTGGATGACACGATTAGACACAGATGAAACGATTCACAATACGAGATAAAAACGACCCAAGGACTGCGACTTGAAACCGTACAGTTTTATTATACTTGGAGTTATTTTAGATTTTATATCTACATCATACAGACAATTTTATTGTTATAAATCACATATATTATTTATGATCGTAATTAAAACTTTAAAATACCATTATTCAACCTTAGTTTAATGACAATCAGAGAATTGAAAAAAAGATAGGAAATTTTAGTAACGTGTTGAATTACGTAACTTTCTT